CGGGCCAGATCCCGTCCCATGCCCAGAACCTCTCCACGCAGTTCGCGCACCAAGGTCTTCACTCCGCTGGTCATTCCGCCTCCTTCAATAACGCTATTCTTAACGCTTCTCAGAACGGACAGAATCTCGTCGGGGTGTGAAACTGAGCTTTCATCTTTATCGCCCTTTGCAATATCCAGCGCGCGTACCGTTGATGGTTCCATAGAGCCAAACGAACTGGATCTAAGGCCATCATGCATGGTCTCATCGGGCGGAGCAAGCTTGGTAGTATCGGCGACAGTGGAGGAGCGGATGATGGCTCGATTGGAGGGGACCTCCTTGACGAGGTTGAGGATCTCTTCGAGCATCGTGGTGATCTGTTTGTCGGCGACTTTGTCGGAGGGAGTGGCAGCTGGTCGCGACTTTATTTCGTCCACAAGTTCCAAAAGCTTTTCCTCGCCTTCCTTGGTCGCCATCTCACGCAGGACTTTCTCAAGCAGAGCGATACTGGCCGAACCATCGGATACGGGTCCCGGTGATCCGCACAGCTCGCGATCATAGGAAGCAAACCGATTAGGGCTGGCCATACGGGGTGCCGAGTACTTCGTTTGTCTTGGGGAATTATCAAATTCCTTCGAGTTCGTTCCTCCCACAGAACCCAATAGAGCATTTAGGTCAAACTTTGCGGAGTCTGGATCCAGGAACTTTGAAGAAAGATTGGAGGTCAGATCCCTGAGGCTTTTGCGAATGTCCTCGTCGCGGGCGTTGGTCGCAGCCTTGAGGCTGACCAAATCGGTGGCATTATCCTTGCTCCGTCGACTCAACTGAGCCATCTCCTGCCGCAAGCTGCTCGCGATGTCGGTAAGGCTATGAATCTGAGATGCAATCGACTCCATGCTGTGCGACTGTGGCTCTTTCGCTACTGGCGCGGGTGCAGCGAGCATTTTGGGACGAGCTGAAGGCGAGGGAGACTCGGTGTCTACTGGCAGTTGCATATTTTGAAGAGCGAGCATGGTTGCTGAGGGAGGGGTGCTTTCCCCTAGAATCGGCTTGGAAAGGTACCGACTCGAAAGAAGGTAATTCGAGAAGTCACGGTCAGACTGAGGACGTTGCGACGGTGACTCGGTAGTCTTCGAATCCTCCGTCTTCGCTGGTGGTTCAGCAATGGTCGCACGCTGAGGTCGATCCGGCGACCGGCTATCTAGGTAGTTGAGAAATTCAGAGCGGGCGTCACCGGGCTGCGACTGCATGCGCTTGTGGATGTTGCCCTTGACCAACTGTCGTTCTGGTGATGATGGAGGCTTGGGGGACATAGAGTTTGTTGTGTAGGAGCTTATCGTGTTCTCGCTGGGCTTGTCCGCGAACTTGGCCGCGATGGCCTGGACATTTGGCGAGACGTGAGATTTGGTGACGGGACTCATTGACCGCGGATTCAAGGGCAGTGGTGGGGGAGCGCGATCTGGGTCCGAACTATCCCACCTACGTGTGCGACGACGTTTGAGTATTAGTTTCCAGTCACTCATGGTGGGCATATCGGGCCGAAGGGATGAGGGATATCAACAACATACATGGGAATTTTCGACTCGGAATGACTCGGTTGGAGCCGAATTAACTCTCGGTCACGGGAAGAAACGTCCCGCTCGTGGGACAACATGGTCGTCTCTCTCTGCGAGCAGAGTCAAGTTGTCTCAGGAAAGGATTGGGCAGTTGCAACTGGAATGCGCTTCAAAAATGTGATCCGCGAGTCAATCACAGAGGTCGTCGCGGCATATCCAAGTTGATGGGATATCGCTAGAAGGGAGAGAAACAAAAACAATCACACTGAATAATGAGGTTGGGGGGAGGTTAGAGGTAAAGGTGATCAGCCGGGACCAGTGGAGATGGATGAGGTGTGGTAGTTAGCTCATGGACTACAGGCACAGACACATACACACACACCCGCGCTTGCCCTGGCAACGGGTAAACAACGGCAGAATGGGGCGGTGAGCAGCGGATTAACTGGCCGGCACAACAGGCTCCAAACGGACTAGCGTGGAATCGGTAAGCCAGCCAATGGACAGCAGGCACACAAACCTGGTCCACCACCACAAAAAACCAAGTTCGCTTCGATCTCTTGTTCCCGCAACTTCGACAACCACCCGCCAAACCTCCACCGGGACTTTCACAATGAAGTGTTCGTATTCCCTGTTGCCTCTCTGTCACTCCTATCCTTATACTGACTCTGCTGCGACAGTCATGAAAGTGGGCCGTGTGGCCATCATCACCCGTGGCCGTTACGCCGGCAAGAAGGTACGAAAGCAACGCCTCTATTCCCCCTCGAATTCTGCCCCGTTGGACGACACACAAAGAGAAGAGCCTGGAATTTTGTGGGACGCTCAAGCAATGATGGGAGACGCAATGGAAGACAGAAAAGAAAAGACAAGACGGTGCTGACAGGAATTTTCGTCCAGGTCGTCATTGTCCAGCCCAACGACACTGGCTCCAAGGCCCACCCCTTCCCCTATGCCATCGTCGCCGGTATCGAGCGTTACCCTCAGAAGGTGACCCGCCGCATGGGGAAGAAGCTGGTCGACCGCCGCAGCCGCATCAAGCCGTTCATCAAGGTCGTCAACTACAACCACCTGATGCCCACTCGCTACACCCTCGAGCTGGAGGGTCTGAAGGGTGCCGTCAACACCGACACCTTCAAGGAGGTGTCGCAGCGTGAGGACTCCAAGAAGACCGTCAAGAAGGCCCTGGAGGACCGGTACACCAGCGGCAAGAACCGTTGGTTCTTCACTCCTCTGCGTACGTCCCATCATTCCTCTTTGTTCTCACACTCGGCTAATAGAGAAACAGGTTTCTAAATGTTTTGTCGATTCGAGCGCGCACGGTATGACGTGAGGCGAGGCGAGGAGAGGAAAAAAAGCATCGAGCTCACTATCCCGCGAGCATGGGATGTTGGATGACATATACCATGGCTGGAAACAGAATCGGGAATGTATCGATGAAGCATCCAGTTTTTACGAGGGGCGTCACGCCTGATCGGGCGTCCGTCTGAATGAAATGGAAAATTTAAAATCAATTCGTGATTCGCAAAGGTCAAGGGGTAGGATGGTCAATGGCTGTAGTCGAGTCTGCCGACCGGTACCCTAATACTGTATCCTGCGTGGATAATCCCCATCTGCTCGGACCTGTAGTTGATGTTGCTCTACTCCCTGTCAGAGTATCGTGTCATAGGTAGGTACTGCCATGTGAAGGCAATCCTCCCCCGATCGACCTATATGTATGGCCCCATCCCGGCTTGTCCACGGGCGCATGTGAGACCAGCACGTCACTCCCGAAAGAATTCACCTTAGATCTCGCCGAGGGAAACGGAAGAGCGAGGCTCAACTGCCTAGTGAGTGAGGACACGGAGGATCCGCCACCACCGTCCGCGGAGATCTCTGCGCCGCAATGCCGCAGTAAAGTTAAACCCGGATCGAGAGAAATAATAATGAGCTAAAACCCTAGGTATTAACTGTCTAGGCAGGTCGTAGTGGTATGATCTTTCGTAATCGAGTGGCGCCATTGACATTGAATTTGCATGCTACGTCTACTCAAAACTCTAAAACCAACGGGCCGTCAATGGCAATCCACTGAAACCCTGATCTGCATTCGTCGAGAGTCCGAATCCGCCACAGCGACTGGATTGACCAACCACTGCTTTCGTTCTGGATAAAAAAAATTCTCCTTGCCCTCCAACCAGGCTGTCATCATATGTAGCTGCATGTGCTTGCGCCGTTTATGTGACCTAAGAATAATACTACGAGGATGCTGCTGCTAGGCTCATCAGGGAACGCCCGCTCGGGCTTCCACGAATCAAGCCGTGCACCAGTCACACGGGAACGATAAGTGAAGGCATAATAATAGTTAGCTCGGAGTCAAAGATGCATGATAGTAATAATAATCGTGGTCTAGGCTCAGACAGTCTGTAATTATCACATGTCGGATGGCGCCATCACATGGGAAAAGGTATTGGTACCTGTCATTCCTTATCTTTGGCCCTCTGGACGTATTACTCTTCCACCATCCATTTCCTCTCTCATTCTCACTCTTCCTTCTTTCTACTACTCAACACCCTCATTACTCCACCGTCATCATGGCCAAACCCACCGTCAACGGCGAGACCGTCCAGTCGCACTTCCTCACCGTAAGCCCCCTCCCTCCCCACCATCTTCTTTTTTTGGATTACAACATACTAACAACAACACCAGCATCTCACCTCCTACCCCATCGTCAGCGACTCCATCACTACCTTCAAGCTCAACCCCTACGGCGCCAAATCCCTCGAATACGCCGACCAAGGCTATACCCGCATCGCCAAGCCCGTGCTGCCCTACCTGTCCACACCCTGCAGCTACCTGGCCCCCTACCTCGCCCGCGCCGACGCCCTGGGAGATCGCAGCCTGGCCCAGATCGAGACCCGCTTCCCCTTTATCAAGGAGGACACCCAGACCCTGCGCGGCTCGCTAGTTGACCGGGCCTCGTTTCCGGCCCGTCTAGCTGGTGATGTCAAGCACCATGTCTTCGATCTGTATGGCCTCGAGTACAAGAAATGCGGCGGGGATGGTGTCGTTGCGTCCGGCAAGGCTGTTGTCACCACTAGCTTGGTGCTCTCGCAGGAGTCGCTGGCGTGGGTGAGCTCTTGGTTGCAGTCGAAGAAGGAGGAGGGCAAGGCGGTCGTTAATGAGAAGACCAACTGATTTTTTTTTCCTTTTGTTTAGATTTGGATTGCTTAGCTTAGAGAAAATAATGCCTGATGATTGCCTTCGATCGAATATCTTTCCAAGATTTACTCCGTAGCAGTAACTACTGTTCTCACCTCTATACTTGGGCTAGATGATAAAGCTCGCACGGACCACACGTAAAATCAGCGATCGCGTCGCGTCCAACTCAACTCTCTATCTCTCTCCACCACCATCACCACAACCAAACCGATGCCCCTCATCCGCAAAAGAAAGGTAGGTCCATCCTCTCCACTGCCAAAACATCAGTCCCTAATGAATCCCCAGTCCGACCACCCAGGAGCCGGCAACGACGCCCGTCGCCAGCGCGGCTCCTCCTCCGCGGCGCCCTCCGGCGCCTCCGACAGCGAAAATGGCGGCAGCGCGCCATCCAGCACAGACACAATGGTGAAGAAGATGGTGCGGCTAGCGCTGGCGAGCGAGTACGCGCGCCTACCTATCCGGCGGAGCGACATCAGCGCCAAGGTCCTGGGCGAGCAGGGAGCGCGGCAGTTCAAGACTGTGTTTGAGCTGGCGCAGCGCGAACTGAGGCAGCATTTTGGTATGGAGATGACCGAGTTGCCGGCTAGGGAGAAAGTTACTATTACACAGCGACGGGGTGAGTCTTCTTTTTAGGGCTGGGGGGTTTCCCCTGTCTCCGTGCTTGCTTGTCTATGCGAGATACCCTTCAGCTATGGCATAACTAACACCGCATGACATGAACAGCCGCGCAGAAAACCGAGAAACCCTCCTCAACGAACAAATCCTGGATGTTAACCACGACCCTCCCGCAAGGGTACCGCACTCCCACAATCCTCACCCCAACACGCGCCCCCTCCTCCGCAACAGAAAGCACCTACACGGCCCTGTACAGCTTCATCATCGGCGTGATCTCGCTAAACGGCGGCTCGCTCGCCGAGCAAAAACTCGATCGGTATCTCGCCCGCACAAACGCAGACACCTACACGCCCATCGACAAGACAGATAAGCTGCTCCAACGGCTGTGTCGCGAGGGGTATCTCGTTCGCACGCGCGAGATGGACGGCGGCGAGGAGGTGGTCGAGTATATGGTTGGGCCGCGCGGCAAAGTCGAGGTTGGGGCGAGTGGTGTTGCGGGGATGGTGAAGCGGGTTTATGGACGGGATGGCGGCGATGGTAACAGGGAGCTGGCGCAGTGGGAGATTGAGGAGAATGAGGAGTTTGAGAATCGGTTGAAGAGGAGTCTGGGCGTTGTGGACTTGCGGAGGGACCATGCTGAGGAAGAGAGTGCGCTGGATGGTGGTGCTGCGGCTAATGGGACTGGAAATGAGACTGGGCATGGTGTGGAGGACGCAAGGAGGCAGAGCCAGTCGAGGAGGTCGTCGAGGAGGTCGTCGAGACGTGCTACTACGGGTGCGAGGGAGGAGTCTTCGAGTGAAGAAGACGAGTCGGAGGATGAGGATGATAGTGATTAACGTTCTTCTTCTGTCTAACCTTGGGAACAATTGCATTGGAAGCGGCCATGTATTGCTGTTTGATACCACTTGGATATGAATATACGTTTTCGGTTTCATTGTTCTCCATCTATCGGTTAATCTATGCCTTCGAGTTTGAGATTATACCCAAATAAGGTAAGCATACTCGAAGCTCTGCAGCATAAAAGTGATCACGCATGGCAGGAAACTGCCCTTGTGGCTATTAGGAGAGACGAGCTACATACCACACACCTTGTAGTCAGTCCTCTTGTTAAAAGTTTTTCGAACGTTGAAGAGAAGAGATATATCTCGGATTATTGCTAAAAGCAGTTTTTGGGGAGGTCCTATTTGTGACAATTAGAACTTTCGCCGATCCTGATATGTAGCCTCATGCTCTTTTTTTTTATTAGACTATATGGAAACGCCATAGTGGTGGGAGAAGACTTTTTTCAGGCGAGGTGAAAGGTGCTGTGGGACTGGAGGCACATTCCGCCAGAGTGTACAACAGACCAACCACAGACACAAACACACGAACACAGAATTGAGGGCAAGGGCATTTAATCCACTTGACTACATTGCAAGACACTACACTACAATCCTACAAGGGAGAAGAAAAAGAAATCGAGACACGAATCTGTATGTAGCTAACTACACAGCAAAGTCTAGCTCCATCCTGCAGCGTTTTTGGAGAAAAAAATTCATCACGGCATCTCTTGCAAAAAGAAAAGCATCATCCGCAAATCATTTATTTCTTGCCAGCCTTCTGGGCGGCCTTGGTGACCTTACCGGCACCGCCAGCGGACTTCTCGACGCTCTTGATGACACCGACGGCAACGGTCTGGCGCATGTCACGGACGGCGAAACGGCCCAGAGGGGGGTACTCGGTGAAAGCCTCAACGCACATGGGCTTGGAGGGAATCATCTTGACGATGGCGGCATCACCGGACTTGATGAACTTGGGCTGGTTCTCAATCGACTTACCGGTACGGCGGTCGATCTTCTCGAGGAGCTCGGAGAACTTGCAAGCAATGTGGGCAGTGTGGCAGTCCAGAACGGGCGCGTAACCAGCGCCGACCTGACCGGGGTGGTTCAGGACGATGACCTGGGCGTTGAACGAAGCGCAGCCGGCAGGGGGGTCGTTCTTGGAGTCACCGGCAACGTTGCCACGGCGGACCTCCTTGACGGAGACGTTCTTGACGTTGAAGCCGACGTTGTCACCGGGGAGACCCTCCTTGAGCTGCTGGTGGTGCATCTCGACGGACTTGACTTCAGTGGTGACGTTGGCGGGGGCGAAGGTCACGACCATGCCAGGGGTGATGGTACCAGTCTCAACACGGCCGACGGGAACCGTGCCAATACCGGAGATCTTGTAGACATCCTGGAGGGGCAGACGCAGGGGCTTGTTGGCGGGGCGGACCGGGGGCTCGATGGCGTCGATGGCCTCGAACAGGGTCTTACCGGTGACCTTGCCACCCTTGGTCTCCTTCTCCCAACCCTTGTACCAGGGGCAGTTGGTGGAGGGCTCCAGCATGTTGTCACCGTTGAAGCCGGAGATGGGCACGAAGGGAACGGTCTTGGGGTTGTAGCCGACCTTCTTGATGAAGTTGGAGGTCTCCTTGACAATCTCGTTGTAGCGGTCCTCGGACCACTTGCAGGTGTCCATCTTGTTCAGAGCGACGATGAGCTGGCGGACACCGAGGGTGAAGGCGAGCAGAGCGTGCTCACGAGTCTGGCCATCCTTGGAGATACCAGCCTCGAACTCACCAGTGCCGGAGGCAATGATGAGGATAGCGCAGTCAGCCTGCGAGGTACCAGTGATCATGTTCTTGATGAAATCACGGTGACCGGGGGCGTCTGCAGGAAATGGTTAGTAAAGGTGTTTTTTCCCCCTCCAGCAACGAGCAAACACTTACCAATGACGGTGACCTCGTACTTGGAAGTACCGAACTTCCAGAGAGCGATATCGATGGTGATACCACGCTCACGCTCAGCCTTCAGCTTGTCAAGAACCCAGGCATACTTGAAGGAACCCTTGCCGAGCTCAGCGGCTTCCTGTGTGGACAGTTAGTATTTGCTCTCGCTGACATGACAAGGACGACAACATACCTTCTCGAACTTCTCGATAGTACGGCTGTCAATACCACCGCACTTGTAGATCAAGTGACCTGTTCGGGGCGGAGAGTCAGAATTTTTTTTTGTGTGGACAGCGGGAAAGAGGGGTAGAGCTTACCAGTGGTGGTCGACTTGCCGGAATCGACGTGGCCGATAACGACGATGTTGATGTGAGACTTGGCTTCCTTACTGCAAAGGATGGTCAATGATATGAATCGAGGACGAAGGGAAGGTGATGGACACATACCCCATTATGACGGTTGGAGGAGATGAATCCTTGTAGTTCTTTGGAAGATACTAGAAAGAGTTCAGAAAAATGCTCAGAGACTACGGCAAGACGCGTAGAGGTGCTGAGGCAAAAGTCAGACGGATGATGAAGGAAAGAGAGGATGGAAGGGGAAAAGGAAAAAGAAAGGGAGGGGGGGGAGATATACGTACTGAAGCGGACAGGGAAGGAAGGGAAAATTTTGTGGGAAGGCGAGGGAGGGTTTGGTTTATATGGAGGGGCAAGCGAGGGTGGAGGTCACCTGATTGGCTGGCTGGTGGGGCAGCAGCAGAATCTGCATGGTGGGCTGTGTACTTGCTCCAGTATGGCCGGGGCCATAGTTAACAGAAGTACCTCCCCTTCTGGTTCTTTGGCTCGAGTCTCCACCACGAATTTTTTTACCCATCCCACCCTGGGCAGCAACGCAGGTTGGGCTGATCATTATTTATTCAATTGCGGACAGGATTATCTTTTCTTGAATTAATACTACTCTATATAATATCATGACTATTTCTTTCCCAATCATAATCATTGTTCCGAAATGTACGGTTTGGTGTGATCTCACTACTGTGTACTGCCCCTCCGCGGGGCACGGATGGACAAAAGTAGGTGAAGAGTTTTCGGGCCAATCATGGCTCCACACGGGCCAGCTATAATTTCACACCCAGATAAGAATAGCGAGCCCAAGATCCGCGGTTGGACCAACTATAATCGCGCCTGCCAAGTACATACATAGTACATGTGGGCGATCGGAGTATTAAAGCAAAAAAGTGGTGGCCGCTGTGGCGTCGACCATTTCGTTGTATATGGCTAGGGTATCTCGAGTACACAGCAAATGATCATTCCAACGCCATTGTTATGCCATTCCATCCATTCCATTCTTTCCCTCTCGTAAATCAATTCTCTCTCCACTGGGCGCCGCAGGTCGTACACTGTCCGCTGTCAGAAACTAGTGTCAAACGTGAAGCAAGGAGTTAAACTTTACCCTCAAAAACGTAGTCATCGGCTCATCTGCACTCCGAATCTGCACCTGGAAGAAAAACGCACGGTCGCCTTCGCAGTTCTCGGCAGGGCATTGAGCTGGGAGAGGATTCTGTCAGACCGGGTCACATTGCACCTCCAGAAAATTACTCACTGGGCGTGCTATCCGCGTTGGCAAACTCCTCCGCGCCGCCAAACACCGCCTCCACCTCCTTCTGCTTCATCTTGGTCTCCTCGAACCATTTCTTCTCCAGGATCTCCTCATAGGGGCAGGCGCGGCATTCGAAGCGGTTGACCCCCAGCGGGTGTGAGCTCGTCTCGGTGCGGGAGATGGTCAGCACATTGCTGCAGTTGGGGCAGACTAGAGAATGGGTCAGTGCCGTTCTTCTGGGCAGAGTACCAAACACATACAAAGCAGCGGCATGGCTGTCTGAGCGCCGAGTGCGTACAGGAAGAGCAAAGAGCAAAAGATCTAGACGCGCGGGTAAACGTGAAGGCGGCGGGACCTTCCACGTGACCTGCCAGGACCCCGGGGTGATCAGCCCCAAACACGGGCTCTTCCCAGCTTGTACATATCGGGGATTGACGCCGGGACTTGAACGCTGATTCTGATACGTTTGCCTGTTTCTCCTGTACACCAAAGACCCCCTGCCGCGCCCGCAGCAGCATCTCCTAAACCCCGAAACGACCGGACATCACCATGGCAGACGACGAGGTGAGTATCCTTGGCCTAAATCGAGCGCACTCAGTCGTTGACAACAAGGTGCTATTGTCCAGGGCGCATCCCCACGAGAGCTGGTCGTCGAGGCCTGCCGCCGGGACCAGCCGCATCTGATCGAGCAAGTGCTGAACGACATGGACAGCAAGAGCAACGAGGAGGTAGCCGAATTCTTCAACGGGGTGACAGACGCACTGGGGAACCACGCGCTGCACATCTGCAGCTTGTACGGCAGCTGTACGTGTTTCTTCCCCCCAACCATTTCTCCTTTCCATTGGGTGTGTGTACCCGTCTGACCGCAGGCTGCAATCCAGACGATGTGATGGACTCTCTTTTCGACATCCAATTCTTCGAGTGCGACCCCCTCACCCGCATGGACAAGGACACACCCCTCCACATCGCAGTACGCTACGCCAATGACAAGGACAAAGAATTGGGCACGGAGATGGTCAAGATGATGTGCGAGGCCGGGTGTGACCCGCGCGTGCGGAATAAGCATGGCCAGAAACCCGCCGATCTGGTCTTCGATAACAACGAGATCAAGTCTGCGCTCGCGCAGGCGGAATATATCCTCGCCGAGGGGATGCGCGAGGAAGCGGAGGATGAGGGCGAGGGCAGTGCGAGCGATAGTGACTGATGATGATCAGTGTCTGGAGCATGGAGGGTTTGTTTGTTGGGCTTCGCTGAGCGAGGGAAATTCTTCAGTCGGGGTCTTTTCTGCGAGCGTGAAGTTTTACTACTTGAAGGATAGCATCTCCAGCATGCACTTAGACTTGGGCCATATATTCTATAGGATGGTTTTATGCTATGATGATGAATGAAGTCTTCTACAACAATCTTGGGTCGGTAGGATAGCTCTTCCGTGTTTTATAGTTTTATTCTTGCATCTATATTTCTGGGTTCTTATCCTCAAATTCTTTTTAATTTATTTATTTTATACACCTGGTCTGGTTTCTAAATCTCAAATCTATTCATTCACCGTAAACCTCTAGTTAAGACTTATAGTATAAGGGGAAACAGTAAACCACGCATCAGAACCAGTGAATGCCTCCGTGCCCGCCCCAATAGTCTGGAGATAGTAACTCGACGGCACGCCGTTGTTGGCAATGAGATAGGTGAAAAAGTCATTGATATCACCCGTGAAATAGGTGATCTCGCTCTGTGCCACAAAGCTAAAGACAGTCCAGGTATCGTTATCCACGGTATTGGTACCCTGGTATAGATCCCAAGTGTAATCACCAATAGGGACCGAGACAACCGGAGTGCCGTATCCAATAGGCTCGGCGCCACCAAGGGCACTCAGCCAAATCATGATCTCGTAGTCGTGCTCGCCATTCGTGGAAGCTTCGGAGGACAAGAAGGCGTCGTATGAGACATCTGCGAGGAGGGATTCTCCAGTATAACTATGTTGCAAATGTCAGCACCTAGTCTAGTCTATATCGGACTCATATTGCTTGTTAGACACTGACGTCCAGTTCCAGGTCGACGCAAGACTGGTAATTGTGCTCAATTGAGTGGCAGGAATGTTAAGTACGGCATTGGCATAGCTCTTCACGTCACTGGCAACTCCCCAAGACCAAGCTGTCTGCCACGAGATCGAATTGGCGTTGCTGTAGTCGAGATACGTGCATTGAGATCCGGAAGTGGCATAATCTTCACCCCAGAGATTGTTGTATAGAGTGAAATCAGACGCATGCATAATGTCATTCTGGGTACAGACTGAGGCGATGGGATCCCGACGCTCGAGATTGACTTTCGTAGGTGCCTTGTTTTGCGATGGGGTGGGCACTGCTTGGATAGATGGCGCCAGGAGGGCGGCCGCGACAGCGCCAAGCGCGAATTGAGTGTTGGAGAACATTTTGAGAAGAAGGTATACGTATTGAGAGAAGCAGGATTTAGCTCAGGGAAGATCTGGAAATAAAGCCTGGAATACTAAAAGCTTGTGAAGGGAGAGGCCCTCCTTTCATAGACATCCACACATGCTAGAATCTCACGGAGTCCGAGACGCGCCATCACCATCGGCGATTGAAAGTCTAGAAGGGGCCGTTTTTAAAATGAAAAGGATTGTCGAATTGCTGAAGATCAAGCGCTAAACAGATGGAATGTACGGAGCTCCTGTACTGTCAACAGAATACTATTGGCTACGTCTGGAATCCGAAAGGATTATTATTGGCTCAGCCCCCTTGGGCGCCTGGCCCCCTGGCTCCTTCACATTTGCATGCTATGTACGAGGCAGAATTCGCCTATTCTCAGCTTACTATAAATATGTGCAGAATAAATAGACAGAATAATAATGCCATTGATTTCATTGTCATAATTCAGTTGATTCGCTAGTAAAATACTAGTGTGGACCCTTTTGCAAGCACTTTGTTCTAGAACTTCCTTGAGCCGTCGGTACTTGAAACCAATTAATCTGATGTATACCGTGTTTCAAGTGTTCTTCAGCATGAAGATCCTACCATCTACAGAGCCTGAACATATGACGCATGGAAATTGAATGCTTGTAGGGACATTATTATCAGTGTGGCATGAACAGAACATCCTTCAAGTGAAATTATCGAGCAGATGTGCTTGGATGTTCCTGGCGAGGGCCAAAACCAACCTAAGGGATCATCTCGTTATTAGGCCGGTATCATTCCTCTAACTCCTCGCGTTAAGGCGGGCCACGATAACTACTACGTAGTGCGTTTATGCATCTCGATACTGCCTGTTTCTCATTGGATAGAACATTTCTGCATGCTTTCTTATCTATGCCGAAAACCAACAAAAGTCTCGAGTCTTCCGACGCATTCAGACTTGAACTCCGGATTCTGCGTTCTCGAAAAGGAAGTATGCGAGGATCAGGCCGCTTTTCATCTTCAACTCGAGTCCATTGTGAACTGCCTGCTTTTGAGAGCATTGGATGGCGTTTGACGGTATTTGAAAGCTATTGATGATGACGAGGGGCTTTTGATATGTTACTGAGAATTTGTAGATCCTTGTAGTACAATAATGGGTGCGACTGCGTCTATGTGCGGGCATGCGACTATGCCATAAACTCAGTCCAGTTACTCTAAGATTGTTTAAAAATTACCTAGCATGAGGCATACCAAATCGCCATCAAACCCATCCCTCCTGGATCTGGCGTCTATAGTCCGCAATCATCTCCGCCGTCACATTGCTCCCGCCACAGACAACAACCACGACCCGACTCTCGGGCGCCAAGTCTGGGATCACCTCTTTCAACCGGCCACCACAAGCAACCTCCACACAAATTCCACACGCCAACTCCACCTGTAATCGCAGCTCATCAGCCAGTCGCACGATACCCCTCGCAGCGTCCGCATCCGAGCGTACAACGCTGGACACCTCGACACCAGAAGGCGGCGAGCGCGCATTCTCAAATGCCTTTGGCGCAACGCACAACGCACCGAGAGAAGTAGCCTGCGAAGTAATGGCCTTGAGCGAAGACAATTTTCCAGAACGCAGAGAATGAGCCAGTGAGTCCGCGCCTGCAGTTTCAACAGCCAGGACACGAACGGGCTTTGCTGCACTTTGACCGGTAAAATACTGCTCCAATCCACCAACGACACCACTAAACAACCCGCCCCCACCAACGCTGCAAACAATTGCATCGGCGGGGAACCCATCCCCATTTGTCTCTGGTAGTTGCCTCACCATCTCCGGAACCATACTCGCCGCACCCTCCCAGACCAGCGGGTCATCAAACGGCGGCACGTAGACATTGACAGAGTCTGTCTGCGCATCCTGGTTGTTGATGTAGTTCTCTCGTAGGAACGTATCAGCCTCGAACCAACTAGCTCCCTGCTGGATCACGTCATCTGCTCCCGCGGCGTGCAGCTTGGATATCATCATTGGCTTGGTGCTGTGCGGTACGATGACCGTGCAGGCGCAGCCGAGGTCGCGGGCAGCGTGGATGGCTGCGAGACCGGCATTGCCGCCGGAGGAGATGTAGAAGTGGACTTTTTTGTTGGCATTTGCTGGGGAGGTCAGGGATTTGAGGATGAAGTTGCCGATTCCGCTGCGGTTTGGTCAATATATAGGGTTCAGGCAATAGGGAAGTAGGGTGGGGACTTGGGACTTGGAACTGGAGATTGAGGCTCTATTCCGACGTACCGTGATTTGAAAGAGCCCGAAGGCTGGAGAAGTTCAAGTTTGAGGAAGACTCGACTGTGCAGTCAGAAGTCGGGTCAGCGATTTCCTTCTACTGGTAATGCACTACTTCCTTCTTGAATGCGGCGGGCGCGGGGGGTAGCTCACCATCCTGCCTGCTGAGATAAGGTCACCGACTCGATCAGAGGCGTTTCGATCCAGGGCTTCTTGGGCCCGTCGGCGTTTTTAGACGACTGCATTGTGTGTTTGAAGAGTAAGAATTGAGATATGGGTTCGCAATGGCTTTTTATATGTCAGTCGAAGGGTTTTTTTTTTCGGGGCAGTGCAATCCGCTGCGGGGACCCCGCTGATACAGTGTTACACTCTAACAAGATGTCACCAGAAGGGCGTATCACCAGAACGGCGTGTCTCCAGAAGGGCGTGTCGCTAAGAGAAATATAAAATACATATATATAAATTGGATATCATCTAGCTGACCAGTACGAATCAAAAACAAATCTAGGGTCCACAAAGATACAGTGCAACGAGAGTGCAACGCATAGCACCAGCTCCCTCAAAACAATCAGCTCCTATTTTTTAGGTGGCTTACTGCGAGCCAGCTTTCTTAGCCAGAAGGTTCAACGCACTACCCGCGAGGATAAAACCACACTGGGCGTCGCTAAGGGTGTGGTTGACAGGAATCACAAACGACTCGCCAGTCTTGTGCTTGGTAACGCGGAGCTGGACCTCACCCTGGCCACCAGCCTTGAGGACATCGTAGAGACCAACGGTGTCGACACGGTCACACGCATCGATACGGTCGTAGTCCTCACGGTTGGCAAAAGTCAAAGGCACGACACCTTGCTTCTTGAGGTTCGTCTCGTGGATGCGGGCGAAGCTCTTGGAGACGATAACTCGGCCGCCGAGGTAGCGGGGCTGCAGGGCGGCGTGCTCACGGGCAGAGCCCTCACCGTAGTTGTCCTCGGCGACGACCAGCCATTCGATACCGCGGCCCTTCCACTGGCTGGCCAATTCGGGGATCCCGTGTGGTGACCCGGCCTCGTCGTATGCCACGTTCGTCTCGCCAGTCGCGGCATTTACGGCGCCAATCAGTGTGTTCGCGGAGATGTTGGGCAGATGGCCCTTGTACTTGAGCCAGGGGCCTGCAGCGGAGATCGTGTCTGTCGTGCACTGACCCTTGACCTTGTACAGCACCTGAAGACCGGACAGGTCGCCCTCCGGGAAAGGAGCGAAAGGCTCCAGGAGCGCCAGGCGGTCCGAAGTCGGCGAGACAACCACCTCGCAGCTGGCGTCGGGCACCGCAGCCGTGGGCTGGAAGTCCGGGTTACCAGCCTCGAAGCCGGCACTTGGCAGGTCGAAGCCTTTCGGTGGCTGGAATTTGAAAGACGCGCCGCTTGGAGTGGTGATCGAGTCAGTCATGGGGTTGAAGGTCGTGCTGCCGGAGTAGGAGAGAGCGGTGACCACTTCGGGAGATGCCAGGAAGTTCATGGTGTGACGGTTGCCGTCATTACGACCGGGGAAGTTGCGGTTGTACGAGGTGAAAATCGCATTGTCCTCACCCTTGGGCACACCATCTGTGCGCTTCCACTGACCAATGCAGGGACCACACGCGTTGGCCAGAACTGTGCCGCCGGCCTCAGAGAATGTGCTGAGGGTCTGGTCACGATCGAGCGTAGCCCGAATCTGCTCGCTACCAGGAGTGATGAAGAAGTCCGCCTTGGGCTTCAGGCCCGCTGCTGAGGCCTGCTTGACCAGATCCTCTGCGCGAGTCATGTCCTCGTACGAGGAGTTTGTACAGCTGCCAATCAGACCAGTACCAAAGGTCTCGGGCCACTTCTTCTCGCGCACCGTATTCGCAAACTGCGAAAGTGGCACGGACAGATCCGGCGTGAACGGGCCGTTGATATGCGGCTCCAGTTCCGAAAGGTTAATCGTAATAAGCTGGTCGTACTCGGCCTTCGTATCGGCCCGCAGCAGGCTTTGCGGGCCAGCAGCTGCAATCTCCGCTGCGGCCTGCGCAACATGGCCGCGGTGAGTTGCCTGAAGATACGGCACCATGCTCTGCGAGAAGGGGAAGATCGAAGTGGTGGCGCCCACCTCGGCACCCATGTTGCAACAAGTGGCCATGCCCGTGCAGCTGAGGGTGTCCACACCGGGACCGTGATACTCAATGACAAACCCAGTACCGCCACGAACGGTCAGCTTGCCGGCCAAGTGCAAGATGATGTCCTTGGGAGATGCCCAGCCGCTCAGCTGGCCCTCGAGACGGACACCCAGGACCTTGGGGGCCTTCAGCTCCCACGGAGCATCCACAAGCGCATCAACGGCATCGGCACCACCAACACCAATAGCAATAGCACCCAGACCACCTCCGTTAGGAGTGTGGCTGTCAGTACCGAGCATCATCAATCCCGGAGCAGCGTAGTTCTCCAACACGCTCTGGTGAATGATACCCGCACCGGGAGGCCAGAACTCAATACCGTAGCGCTTTGCGGCACTCTCCAAAAAGTCAAACACTTCGCTGTTTCCCTTGATCGACGCCGGCAAGTCAGTATCCGCGCCGCGCTCGCCAACAATCATATGGTCACAGTGGATGCTGGCGGGCACAGCCGTCGAGGGCAGACCACAGGACATGAACTGCAGCAGGGCCATTTGCGCCGAGGCATCCTGCATAGCCACGCGATCCGGCTTGAGCTTCAGATTGGCCTTGCCCCGGATATCGCGACCATTGTTGGTGCCGGACAACAGGGATTCCTCAGCGTTATCCAGATGGGCGTAGAGGATCTTTTCGGCGAGGGTGAGGGCACGCTCCGAGCCCAGGACTCTGCGGACTTGTTCGAGGTTCCGGACGATCTTGGGGTAGGGCGGCATGCGCGAGGAAGAGGACTCAGTGGCCAGGCCACGGGCGAAGAGCCGTTGCGGAGAGAGGCACGCCAGCTAGAAGAGAGTCAATTTCGATGCCTTTTTTTTTCTTTGTAACCGAGATAGATCAGACTCACCCCGCGAGCGGCCGAGGCCCGCTGCCAAACTAGCTGGCTCACCATTGTGTCAACACCTGAAGTAGATCGGGATCAATGGAGGGTGTTGAAGGTGAAGTGGATTTCTTTTCTGCGGAATTGCAATTATTCGTGATTTGCCTCGGCGCTGATTGGCCCTGGCGCCGGTACCGGTCCAAAAAAATTACGGTAATGTATGCGTTTTGTGGGGAAAGAGGGTGTAATTTTGAATACACCGTCAGCACAAAATGTCAGATATGCAAATGGCTGTGTTAAGTAGTCAAGAGCCCTTGGTGCTTGTTGATCCAGAGGTATAGCATTTTTGATCTATGCTGCTAGACTGTCAAGATGGAGCATCCTCAACTTCATATTCACCACCCGGAGGCTAGTCACACTCACACAGCTATCTTGCTGCACGGCCGCGGTAGTGATGGTCCCGAGTTCGCCGAAGAGCTCTTCTCCTCGACAACTTCCAGAGACAAAACCTTGACTGCCTGTCTCCACGGCTGGCGATGGGTGTTTCCAACTGCTGCAGATCGATGGAGCACGACTTTCCAGGAAGAATTGTGTGCTTGGTTTGACGCCTATTCGTTGGGCGACATTCAAGAAAAACAAGAATTACAAGCAGACGGAATCAAAGAGTCGGCAACATACATTTTGGGTATCCTGGAGACCGAAATAGCTCTCCTTGGCGGAAAACACACTCATGTCTACCTCGGAGGCATCAGTCAGGGAATGGCTACCGCCATATGGACTTTCCTCGGCGCAGTAGCGATAGGGCGCATCCAGGGACCGCTGGGAGGTGTGCTAGGGTTTTGTGGCTGGTTTCCATTCGCGCAGCAGCTGGAGGATTTGTTCCAGAAATCTGAACTTTCCGGTGGTGCTGGCAGTCCCCAGATGCAACGTCTATTATCCAGGTTCTTCATTGATACACTTTCTCACAAAACGCCGCAGCCGAGTCAACCACCGGACATATCAGTGATGTCAACCCCTGTGTTCTTGAGTCATGGCACAGACGATGACTGGGTGTCTGTGGAACTGGGCCGACAGGCATCACGGGTTCTGCGGCAAGCTTTGCTTCATGTTGAGTGGAATGAGTTCACGGGGGCGGAGGGAGATGGGCATTGGATAAAGGAGCCCGAGGGCTTTGATCAGATCCTTCACTTTCTGGAGAGACCACCGCGAAAGAACATCATACCATCTCATGGAAATTAACTACTCAGCTACCGTACTTAGCTGTTGTAAAGAGGACAAAGAAGGTAAATGCCCTAAGGCCCCGAAGCAAAAGAAAAGAAGGAAAAAACGCCTTTCATGACATGAAGATCAAATAAAAGGCAAAGGATCATTAGACAAGAATTGAACATACGATTGCAATTACTGTATGTCGGGAATATTTCATAGAAGGCCATCAAATAGAAAGAAATGAGACATGAGAATCTCACCAAAAGACCTTCACCTTAAGATTCTTTATCTTCCTCATCGGCCACGGCAGCTCGCAGTTCCCAGACCAGGTCGTAGCATTCGGCGAGCAGGGCGTTGACGCTACCCTGTCCCTCCGGAATGTCGGGGCCAACGTAGAACTTTCCATCGACGCGCATGTTGTCGATCGAGTTGAGCTGGGCCAATCAGTCTTGTGCCAGCAATTTCTTACTGAAAAGGACATACCTTCATGCTATAAGGGTAGAGTTCACGGGAATTAGAGACGCCTCCGGATTCCTTGACTTCAATCAGGCATCTTCGGAGTGTCTGCAGCTGGTTGTAGACGGGCAGCAAAGCCTCGGACACGGGCTCTGATGAGATCAGGAGGGCATATATGTATGCATAGCTCCGTCGAATGAGATACAATAACGTCTAGATTATAAAATTAGCCTCGTCACCAGTAGTGTTTGAAGGAAGTCATACTCGCTGAGCATGAAGGTCAGCCGGTTGCCCTTCGGCATCGACAAAGTTCCCATTGACCCGCGCCTCGTCTATTCTGTCGAGTTTCCGCTGGTATCCAAACAGGTCCGTCTCGCGCAGCGACCATGCTTGAGTCACTGATAGGCGGTCGAGCTGATTTCGGATCTCCAGCAACCGATCATACTGGTCTCGGAATCGCTCGTCGATCTTGCCCTCCCGTTCCAGCACAATCTCTGTCCACCGATAACACCGATGAATCAACGACTTGAGATCGTCCTGCCCAGCGAGGATGTTCCCCTGGGCATCCACGAAGTTCCCATCTTTCATTGTGCTCTCTATTTTCTTCAGCTGCTCCCGCAGGCCATTCACTTCCGTCGCCGAGAACTTTGAGCGCGTGTTCACGGCAGAAGTTGACCGCAGAATCGAAACAAGGGTCTCATGTGTTTGCACCAGTTCGGGAGCCAAAGCGTCCAGCCCTTTCTGCAGTTTGTTCAGCGCGAGCTGGCATTGCTCGAGTCGGCTCTCTAGGAGGGTGAGAAGAGCAGGAGAGTATGTGTTGCGGCCACGGGCCAACGTGTCTCGCATCGAATCAAGAGTCTTGGTGATTGAATCCAGGTCTTTCGAGCTGTAAAAACCAGCCTCTTCGAGATGGTCCAGCAGGCGCTAAGCAGAGTTAGATTGTTATGACCAATGCAGGAGCGATTCAACCATACCTGAACAGTAGTGGCCGATGAGTAACTATCATAAATCGCCAGTTAGTATTGCAATAGTGGGGTTAGAAGGGCAACCAATTTACACTGCGGGGGCTTCGTTATTCCGTCCAACGGTCAAAAAAAGCAAGGAGATAAGCTGGAAGCAGTCATCTAAGACATAGTCCACTAAAGTCGACCACTTGTTAGTATATTCTCCGTCTATTGCGCACCCAGATCACTACTCACGTCGGTTATGTACCAAGCGGCGGTCCAGCTCTTTGCGGGCAGTATTGAGCATCTCGACCTCTCCAATCACTTCCTCGTAGAGAGGAAGTACATCGCGAGACTTGATATAGGAAGATTTGTCCTGCTTAATGAGCAGGAGAGAATCGCGAGTCCGGAGCAGCCGTTCGAGGATAGGCTGTTCTCGCGGATCCAGCGGGACGGGCACGGCGGGGCTCTCCATGGCCGGAGCGAACGGGAGAAGTGGTCACAGTGGTCGGGGGTGGTCCAAGGCAGTCAGAAGAATGTTCCAAAAATGTAGCAGGCGAGTGCAAATGGATGGTCAGGGTAATATGGGATCGTTCGCGCACGAGAAGTGATGTCAGTTCCACGGAACGGATCTAGTAGCTCCTAGTATGTTGGAGATAATCGAGATAGTCCGGCTATTAGCTAAGCAGTCCGTTTTTGGCTTAGTCCCATCCACAACACGCTAAGCCCGATGAAGGCATCTGATGACTAAGACCGTCTAAGCGAGGGCTTTTTCCCACACACCGCGTTTGGCCGGTTCGGGCAGTGCGTGGACTCTCTTCTTCTTCTTCCCATCCCTAACTCCTTCACCAACCCAACCCGGTCAGATAACCTCTCTCCGTCGACAAACATGTCTACCACCGCTGAGCTCGCCTGCTCCTACGCAGCCCTCATCCTCGCCGATGACGGCGTTGAGGTCACTGTGCGTACTCCCATTTCGTGATCGGTGCATCCATGGTGGAAACCGCAGGGCATACATTCTCCGAGCGAGTGTCGCAAGGACGTCGCGGGGATGGAACACTGCGCACCAGGGAATACTGTTCATTTGTCTCATTTTTGAAATGCCGACTGACCAATGTCTTTTTTTTGCATCCGCAGGCCGACAAGCTCCAGACTCTTCTGGATGCCGCCAAGATCCAGGATGTCGAGCCCATCTGGACCTCCATCTTCGCCAAGGTAATTACTGAGCCTCCCTCACAGCCTTAGCCGGTGTCGTCGGTTTCGCGACATGGCACACGAAAAAAAAAAGCAGGGACTGACTATCATTTCACCCCAGGCCCTCGAGGGTAAGGACATCAAGGATCTCCTGACCAACGTCGGCTCCGGTGGCCCTGCTGCCCCGGCCGGTGCTGTCGCCGCCGCTGGTGGTGAGGCCGCTGCCGAGGAGAAGAAGGAGGAGAAGGAGGAGGGTAAGTCTCTTGACAAAACCCCCCCCCCACTTGCAGCAAATACTAACCCCCACTACAGAGAAGGAGGAGTCCGACGAGGACATGGGCTTCGGTCTGTTCGACTAAGCGTCTACCATATTCCGAAATTGAACTCGTTTTCCTCTTTTTTCGTCTCTCGCCTCTTTTCCCTCACTGCCATGCTTTCCTCCACAAGCTGGCTACCTCGACGATTTTCCTCTTGTACTCGATACTCCGCGAACCCCGCTACGAACTCCTAGAACTCGGGGAAGAAGAAAAAGAATTGAAATTTAGCAAAAGAATCCATACGGACAGGGACCTTCAATGGGGACTGGGTGCGAGGTGTGCTTTTTCCGTCTTGTTGCGGAGGGTAGACTCTCGCTCGGATGCCGCTATGACTCCGGACCTATGTTGCTTTTTTCCTGGTTTATAGGGGAATGGAAGAAAAAATTTATGTTGGCACAACTCTCGATTTCTTCCAGGGCTGGCTGGATCAACTTGTTATGTTTCTCCGGCTCTGGCGGGTAGATGTATGAACTGTGTTTTTCCTGGTGCTCCCCTATGGACCACTTAGCTTTACTTTCCCGGTCACCATGCCATGTCTTCTCATCATGCGATCATGAACCAACGAATGCCGTTTGCGATTCTGAACTTGGGCTGCGTAGTATATTGTCATCGGGGTAGACGGCTGATGGTCACCGGAACACAGTTGCATTGATGATCGTAATGTACATGCGAAGCCAAACTTGGGTAACTATAACAAACGCCATGCTTGAACAAACCGCGGATCCCATGCAAATGATATCCAGAAAATCGGCAAAAACTTTTGAGATGGCATAGCTGCAGTCATATATAGATAGAGGTCATGAAATTGCAGAGGGAGCTTGAGGTTCCTGCACAGCGTAGATTCGGAACTGGGCGAAGATGATCACATCCTCAACCATCGTGCCCAGTGATCCAATAAGCCATGGGATATTGGTGATGACATACTCCTGATCCGTTGAGTGGCACAGAATCTGTCGTAAAGGTCAGTTACTGCGCGACAAGAGGGAGAAAGACTGTAACATACCCCCGCCCCGTAGGTCAAATTGCCCAGAAGGGAGAGAATGAAAAACAGCAGCGATAGACCTGGTAGATGGTCAGAATGGGTTTCACAATCAGATCGAGACGCGGCGTGTTACCTTCGCAAGACTTGTCGCAATAGTTCTTATAGATCTGAGGCAGTCTCGCTCTGCACGAAGGTTAGAACCATACCTCATATATGTCAAAGTACTCACCCTAGATAGCACACCGCACTAATATAGCCCAACACCTGGCCACTAGCAGCCTTCTCGACATTGTGGCCACCCTCCTGAGCGGCCGGCTTCCACATGCCCGTCCGCCAGGCAATCATCCAGCCTGCGGCACCAACGACGAAGATACCAAGAACACTGATGAAGTTCTTAGCCCAAGCCTTGCGCCCATAGTCGTTCTCCTCCACGATCTTCGCCAGTGTATCTTCCACCTGGCTCTCGCGCCGGCCAGCACCGGCGTGGCCGCGCAGCGAACCGGATGATCGGCGCCGCGAGTTTGGGGACACAAACCCATCACTCAACCGCCTGCCTAGCAGCGGGGTAGTCGGGTCTGGGGTCTCTGATGACGAGCGCCGACGGCGGTGGAGCGCCTCGCGGCGGGAATTGCGAGCCTTATAGTATAGGCATTGCGTGATGAGAACACCGTCTGCGAGACAAAAGTATACGGCGATAGCGACGATGACGGGCACCAGGCCCGCCAGAAGACCACCGAGCAGGTTGGTCACGTCGCCGATGAACCAGACGAAGACGAAGAGGAGGGAGATCGCTTCGGCATTGCCGTTGCGGTAGTTCTCGATTAGTTGAGGGACCTGCGGGAAGAAAAAGAAACATCAGTTTCTTGTCTGCTATCGTTCGACAACGTAGTGCTTCCCTTCCGGGTGCTTTCCCGGAAGTCGAATGGCAAGTTGGCGGAGATAGGAGCCGTCATACCAACAAGAAAAGCCAGCAGGTCATAGAAACCGAGCCCAAAAGACCCGATGCAGCTTCGCGCGGTGTCAGAGCCACCGAGTGGTCCGACACTGCACGGCCTAAAATCTGCGCGAGGGCCATGGTGGCTGCAGAGATGAAGGACGTGTAGAAAATGGCGCGCGAGAAGTGCTATGTCAGAGTCTAGTTGATCCGGGAGACTCCCGCAGCCGATGTTGAGAGGATGGATGCGAACGCGGCAGTGCCCATGTGGCCCAAAAGTTGTAAGCCGCTCGAAGGGTCGGTCAATGACACACAGAGAAGAGAGATATGGCCGGTGTTGCGAAAGATAAGAAGAAAACCGATCGGGCGCAGCTGCGACGATGACTCAGCCGATGATGGCACGACCTGCCCGAATAGGAAAGAGCTACGGGTATCTGCATTGCAGTCATGCAGGTCATGTTTATTTGGGTTTGTTTACTTCTTCAGTATGTAAAGCTCTCATTCCTCCTCCTCATCGGTTTCTTCCAGCATCATGGTCAGCTCGTCTTCAAGCATGTTCACGGCAAACTCTCCAATCACCTCCTTGATGGGTCCGTGCAGTAACTGCTGTCGCGACGACTCCGGCTGAATATTGAGCAGTCCCTCCAGGTACTCTGACAGCGGAGAAAAATCCACCACATCCCCCCAGTTGCCCCGATCGACGCCATACTGGTGCAGGAACATTTGCAGTGACTCGAGGCCGTCTTGTAAGAGCCACGGCTCGAGAGCTTGTTCATCCGGTGCGTGTCCTGGTCGGTGGGTTTCGTCCGTCTCAGGGACATCATCCTCATCATTCTGATCCTCGGCAAATCGGGGGAAGTGAATAGCGCCGTTGTTCATTTGGTCCAGCAGGTTGCGCAGCCACTGTGGCCGTCCGCCTTCTGGGATCCGCGAGATATAAGACGGTGTCGGGTCGGATTGCTGGCGGAAAGCTTCAGACTCGTGTGGAGGTAGAGGGTCAGAAGCAGAGAGACGACCCGACACAAAGTGGTTCGGAAGATGAGTGGTAACTTTGGGGATATCAGACAAGACCACATGGCGGGCAATGTCCAGAGTAATTTCTGGTACTTCAACGGGCTCCGCCTCGCCTGAAAGACTGTCGGCAACTTCCATGATCAGAGACACGGCCTCTGGGGTGTTCCATAGATCCTTTGCACGAGAGATATAAAGCTCCGTAAACAGCTCATGGGAGTCAGTTGGGGGCATCTTGCCCCAGATCTGCTTGGGGATGTGCTGGAGGTCTAGCTCTTGTGCCAGCCGATTAAACACCCACGGGTAGCGGGACATGGCCATCTGTAGCTGTCGACGACACTCTTGTGGCTTGTTCAACCGTAGGTAGGCCATAACCAGAGAACATTGAATATTCAAAAGATCGGCCCAGTCACGACTGAACCGTGTTTGCGTACACAGCTCGACAAAGTGAGCATACTCCCGGCCACGGAGAGCAAGATGGTCAATCAACAGCCTTATGCAGTAGGGATCGGTGTCATTCAAGCTGAGCAGAAGCTTCGCCCACTCATAGGCGGTCCTCCATGTGCCCTTCATGCCGAGGTTGGCCATATACCTCCAGCCAACAAGCCAAAGCTCCCGGTTCTCGCCGTGCAGAAAGTCAAGTTTCGCTTGGCCTTCCTTGAGACGATTCCCGAATGACGAATGAGCGGACCGTCCAATATTAAACAGTGCTCTTTCCAGCAGGTCGGCAGATACAGCATGGTCGCCTTGGTGTTTGGCGACCTCAGAGACTTGGAGGAGGGTGGAGATGTGGTAAGGGTTGTACTGGAGGTGCTGAATCAACCTCTGCGGGTCCATCGACTCAACACAGAGGTCAAACTGTCTCTGTACATCTTGATAGGCGGCATTATGAACAATTCGATAGAGCGTATCACCAAAAGGCAGTTTGTCAACTACCTCCATGCCCAACCCTCCACTGGGGGCCCGCGGCCATTCGTCTCTGCCTTGCATCAGGACATTCCGACGCAGTGTCACTCCAGCCAAGCTCTGCCCCCGGCTCGCCGGGCTGTATCTTCCAGTCAATGCGCGGCCGAGATCAACCGTTTCGCGATTGCGATCCCGCCTACGGCCCGTTCCTGAGTCGGCAGGCTGATCAAAGTTCTCCAGCACGACATTCCCAAATAGCCTGCGCATCTCATTCGTCGCGTTCAGGTATTTGGGCTCCACAGAAAGCAGGGCGGCGGTGGTTTTCGGGAACGAAGCGTCGGGAGAGTCCGCTGCAGTACTAGCAGCCGCACCGACACCGACTGGCGGTTGGTCACCAGTCGCCAGTTCTTTCAGCGCCTTGTCAATTTCATCCAGTTGAGTATCGTCGGACTTTGCAAGAGTCGCATCGTTAGAAACCGCAGCTTTAGCCGCCTTCTTTTTCTTCTTCCGTTTCTTGTTGGCACTCTTGCTTTTGACTGGGGTTGACTCGGGCTCGACTGGCTCTGGGGAGGTCGCTTCCCGTATGTCCTCTTCCGATTCAGGTTCATGTTCTTCGTCACCCGCGTTCAACAGGTCGAATGCGTTAAACTTGGGCTTCGCGGGGCGCGCGGGCTCATCGTCGCTTGACTCATCTTGCTGCGCTTGTTCCAGCTGCTCTTGCTCACGCAGTTTCTGCAGCTTCCGAATGGCGCGGGATGACATCTGGGCGTCTCACCAGACAACCGGGGTGTGAACGACTAAATCCAAGGGCGGGACTGCGACAAGTGACAGACTCTCGGCGGATGACGACACGCCACGGCCCAATCGGGTCAAGCGCTGTACATATCACGTGATATAATTGGCCCTAAGAATGGAATTCCTGGCGGCTAGATTTTTCTAGTTTACTGGTCCTGCATCAGTGGAGGTGTTCGTCCCACTGTATATGCGCGCATAGAATTAAGTTCCTATTCAGAATAGGGTTATTTCTTTCCCAGAGCAACATCACCTAGTGCTCAGCTACAAAAAACTAGATCTGCGATCCTTTGTTTTGATTCCGTTCTGGGTGTACTCTACATTCGTCCTTTATACACAAATACCAGAAACAATAAGTGCCAATTTCCTCATGCTTGGCTAGCGAAGAATTTAGACAAGCTCTTTCCCAGAATAATTCCGCCTAATTCAAGACAAAACAGTACTCTTGTCATCAGGCCACAGAAGAATTGCTCTAACTTCAATGCTCTCTCTAGGTTCCGCATCTTCATAGTCGGGGTCAATGAAGGCGGAATGTGGGCACGCTCTGGCGTCACCAAAGTTATCGAACTGTTTGAAGACCAAAACTTCGTCGGCGGCCTGGGCGAACTTATAATACCATTTGTGGACAGTTGGATTTGGTCGGATACCCATCGATTCTCGGATCTCCGTGAGCCATCTGTTGGCACGAACAACGAGATCTGTATAAGGTACGGTGCTAGCGTCGGCAATTCCGAAGGGGTGTTTATATACAGTCTTGATTGGACGCCATGCCTGGTTTGCCATGATATTAGCAAAAGACTACAAATATGTGAGGACCGGGAAGCGTACGTTCACAATAATGCAGCGACCGTGAAGCAAGGACTCGCATTCATCGGGAAAATATTTATGGATGACATTGAATCCCTGCCAGGTCGACTGGTCGAGATGTGCCCCAAAAACAGCTGGACCGGGCCGGGTAACCTGGCTGATTTCTTCCTTTTTGATGCTGTTGGCGGTATGCACGCTGGTGCTCACTCGAGATCCATGGTGTATAACTTTCACAATAGGTGCGCCGGTTCTAGTAATACCTCTCAGCAAACCTTCTGTGTTGCCTGCGGTTGGGAAAGTTCCACACTTACAACTCCTTCAGCCAAGCTTGCATCTCAGGGTAATACTCCTCTTTGATCTTCTTATTGTTCTGAAGGTCTTCAGTTGTCTTCATTACCTTAGTCACCTGCTTTGCGAGGCAAAATCCGTTTTCTTCAAGGTTGAACTCGTGTTCGCGGCCGGTCAAATCACCAACCGTGATATCAACAGCCATTTTTGGAGGATTTGGATAGTAACTGAGGGTCCCATTCAGTATATCAAGATGAGAAAGCAAATGGTGAACTTACACATCTCCACCCTTTGTCATATCCTCTTTGCCACCAAAAGGCTCTAGCTGTTTTGCGTAGGCCTCCTCATCGGCATGGAGGATCTGCGTAGGTAAATCCCGACGTTGGGCACTCTTGCTCTCAGTGGCAAGAGCAAAAGTCTGAGTAATAGTTGAAGACATCTTGAGGACTATCTATCCCGTTGAGTTGAAGTCGAGCTCTGTGAGCAGGTAGTTTAAAATTTAAGTTGGATTATTGTTCTTTAGTTTTCTTTTTCTCCGCTGGGGAGAGATGAACTTTTTATACCTTTGACGGAGTTTCAATGCGAGAAGCTCAAGACCCATTCTCTTGATAGGTCCCAGCCGAATATCCGAGTACGTGCACAATAGCAAAATCAACATTTTCGAATTGTTCCCAATCTAGTCACGTCTTCTTAGGCAACAGCCGAGGCTATGCACTGATTATTATTATTAACTACCGACTTTCGAGCTAAATCATCACCGAAGGTCACACTGGCCATTCATGAAGCATACTAATATATTCATGGCTTGGCCCTCGATAGCCCTCTGTTCGCCACTCACCATTGCTTGGAAATTGCACTCAGGTAGGACTTTTCCCTCTTTTTTATTTGCGTATGATGTTAATTCCGCGATAACCACAGAGCTTCCTACACAGTAGCTACATAGTATGAACTTTCTGTTACGCTTCTATTAACGTAAATCTACACAGCAAGCGTAGTGTCAGGTGAGCGTTTTTAGATGAACAGTTATATTTCTCGGCTTGGATTTGATCCGGCTCCAGGATTGCATAATTCTCAAGCCCTCGAAAACAAGATATGCAAGCTATCGGGAAGTTGCCTTTCCGTGTATTATACAGACTACCCCTAGCAGGGCTTGGCGCTCTGTCTGGATAAAAAAGCCACCAAGTTGACCATTCACAGATTGAGCAAAGCCCTGGAACCAACCGAAGAGTCAATATCTCGCTAGTTAAAACAGGCGAGTATGACGGTATCCAAATGCCAATCCTATAGACTTTTACTACTGTGGTGAGTAAGCCCTCGGATTTAGAGAACGGAATCGACATTTAATTGGCTCGGACAGGTCGTGATGTACCGCTGCGAATAACGCTTAGGCTCAAATGGCACTAAATTCGCGTTCGGCCCCACGGTTGCTGATCTGCGGGGAAAATGGACCTCGGATACAAAGTGGTGGACTCACCTTTCATTGGCTACCTTATGGCACTTAGGGCTATACTAGGATGGCCTTTTTCATACTTCCATACAATCCAGAGGTGCAGGGATCAGTTACGACCGAGGATAAATGAAAGCGGGGAAGCTTATACGGTGAATACGAGTGCTTGGCCGTCGGGCGCTGATCTAGACAGTGTGTAAATTTCAGCAAATGTGACTAAGTCATTTGCTTGGAGGCATTGCTGGAATGCCTTTCTGATCCAGATGCCTAGTCTTGAAACTCGAATTGACATCCTGTATTCATACTGAATTTGTTTAAGGAAATTTTAAACGATTCGTAGCGCCTCAGGGGGGTTGGGCCCCCTCCTTCTCACTCGGCATCTCTCTACTTTCGAATATACAATAAGGCTATATAAGAACCACATTTTGTGGGGTAAAAACGCTATCAAACACAGACCACTGCCATCAGCTTCAGCAGGTCTTTATTTGGTTATCAGTACTGTTGTCGCTAAATTCTCCTTCATCTGATAAAATGAGCGAGAAAGTCAAGGACCGAGAGCCATCTGACGGTGTTGCGAATGAGCACATTGAGCAGATATGCAAGGATCCTGAGAGTCATGACGAGAAATATGATGACTCGGAAGCACTTGAACCCTCTCGTTCCAAGCAGATTAAGGTGGTTTGATTTGAACTTCCAAAACGATGGGAATATAGCTGACCCTACACACTCGCAGCTGAGTAACGTCAAATTTTTGATGGTCTTGCTCGGGTTTGGAATGGCCTTTGTTGGTTCTCAAGTGTGTTCCTTGATATTCGCTGCTCTGGTTAGCACGGTTGCGAACGATCTGGACGCTATCGACGACTTGGTCTGGATTTTTTCTTCCGGGTTGGTATCTATCAGTGCTGTGGCTCCCTTCGCTGGGCCCATAGCCGACCTCTTTGGACGAAAAAGCGTGACTATTGTGGGAGTGCTTGCTTCGATGGTGGGTATGATACTGTGTGCTGCAACCACCAATGGGAATGGTTTCATTGCGGGGCAGGCCATTACAGGAGTCGGGGTTTCGATCCAGGAGTTGATGTCAATCTCTGCTGTGGCTGAACTAGTACCGACTCACCAACGAGGATTTTATGCTGCTCTTGTTGTGTCCGCTTTCTTGCCCTTTTGCCCAGCGTCATTATATGGAGAGCTGATTGCGCAGGCCAACTGGCGATATTGCGCTTGCTTGATCGCAATCTGGAATTTGCTGACGGCAGTTACCCTTGCCATCTTCTACAACCCTCCACCTCGAGTCAACGCTGGGGGCTTGAGTCGCAAGGAGATGCTTCGGAGAATCGACTTCCTAGGAGGATTTCTTATGATCGCGGGCATTGTTGTTTTCCTCGTCGGACTCAATTGGGGAGGGCAGACATATCCCTGGAGGTCTAGTGCGGTCATTTCTTGCTTGAGTCTTGGTGCCATTCTGGTGGTCGTCTTCCTCCTGTACGAGACGTTCTGGGCTAAGTATCCCATGTTCCCCCGGCGGTTGCTCCGTCACCCGCGTGCATTTATTGCGTTAATGGTAGTGATCCTTGTCGCGGGTATAAATTACATTCCCATTCTGTTCTTTTGGGGTCATGCAATCTATCAGCGTGTATGGCTCGGGCCACGTCGTTGCAGGCATTCGGACGCTGCCATTTGGATTTTGTATTGTGGGAGGATCGCTGATTTCAGCCATCATGATTTCCGCATTCAAGGGGTATCTACGACCTATCATGGCAAGCTTCTGCGTTTTACAGACTGTCGGTAAGGATGCATCACTGAGAGAATTTGCGTCTTGTTGCTGACCATCCCAGCCATTGGTAGTATGGCTGCTGTCGATCCCAATAACGTCAACACCGTCTGGGCTCCTCTTGTGCTTGGTCTCACCGGCGTTGGTGGTGTTCTGGTTCCCAATCAAGTCATCGTCACGGTCATATCTCCAGACGATCTCATCGCAACGGCAACTTCTCTTACCGTGTGCCTTCGCTCAGTTGGCCAAGTTATCGGAATCAGCATTTTCTACAATCTATTTACAGCAAGACTCATCGAGGAAGGAGAGAACAAAATTATTCCTGCAGCGATGCAAGTCGGCATTACCAATCTATCAATCCTCAAAACCATGCCGTCCACACTTCTAGCGATTCCCTTCTCCGAATATGCGGCATCGCTTCCCCAGATAAATACGCCAGAGAAGTATGACTTCCTACATCATGCTATTATTAATGCATTCGGGGCCTCATTTTCCAAGGTTTACTTGGTATCAATCGCATTCGGGGCTACTGCCTGTATCGCGAGTTGGTTCCTTGGGGATCTCACAGCTTTGATGGATGATCATATTGCTGTCTCATACTTCTAGTGTTGAATTTTTATGTAATGAACATATCCGAAAGATAAGGAAATGGCGAACGTCGCATTCTTACAGTATGAAAACGCATAGAACCTATTTGTCAAATTTGATGATTTGGTTGCGATGCCATTCTGTCATTTCACTAGTAATAAAAGCTCAAATCAAGGCGGAAGAGGAGGCCAGGAAGCAGAAGATCAAGAAGCATTCGAACTATGATTCTCCAACAGAATCCGGGACAGAATCCGGGGCAGCTCCATGATTTGATTGCCAACCTCTTACCATTAACATTAAAAGGTATTTGAATGACTATTATACTGGCCTACCTGGCCTCATCTTAAGACAAGCTAATCATTTCCCTCGATCTAAACCGTCTATCTACGCAGGACTTTTGAGCCACCCTTACTATTCTCAGTTTCTCTAGCAGAGTTGGTGGTCCCTGGGCTGTAAGCCCAGGTAGTCTCTCGTATTTCCTCGCCACAATTTTAGTCTTGCATGCTTCACTATTGATTACCCGGTGCCTTATCTGTCTTATGCAGTTTAACTGGAATTTCAATCGAATGCGTATCATAGAAATGGCATTGAAAGGGAGAAATGACTACATAACTCTTGCCCTTAAAGCAAGGGTGGGGACATGAAAGATCGGTTGAGGACCGCAATGAGTTCAGATTTCCGTAGACTGGATTTCCCGGTGGCTATACTTTTCAGGTTTAGCGGTTCTGTATCAGTAGAATTATTCGTTCCACTGTATATGCGCGTATAGATAAGTGCACGTATTACATCGGCAGATTTGATGTCAGAGGGTTCAACGCTTGAAGAATTCTCTGGCATCTTACCTAGATTTATTGCCGTCACCTAGCAGAGTAAAATTTAGCAGGTTCAATACTTCATACGCGGTACAACTTCTGCAGTGCGGTGTGGTTAAGAAACCACGAGTAGGATACATTACTTGTGACGCCGCTTGCAGGTGGCGCAGCCCTGGCCTAGAGTAAGTATCTTTACGTACCCGCCGAGGCATTGTAGATGACGACTTAATGAGAATTTGTGGTAGGCAGGAAAAAGACTGGGGGTAATGGATGGAGACGGGAAAGGGAGGGGATGGATACTGGAGGGGAGTGGAGCAGTGGCGGCCGGTCATTATGCCGACGATAACAGAAGGTTGTCGACCCACACAACCCACTTCGACCTCATCAGTCATTCATTCCCCTCACTCTCTCTCAGTTTTCTGCTTCTCAAAGGTTCCTCTTTTTTTCTCCCTCAGCTCATGGCGATTCATTCGGAGACATGGGTGGTAGTAGGTGCCTCCAGAGGCATCGGCCTGGAATTCGTGAAGCAGCTCCTGGAAGGGGGACAGAAAGTTATAGCAGGAGCGCGAAATCCATCGGCAGCAAAAGAACTTCTGGAGCTGTGTCAGTCGAGTCCAGATCGCTGCATGGTTGAGCAGTGCGATGTCACAAGCGAAGAAAGCATTAACGCAAGTTAAGCTATAGCCCCTATTGTCAGACAATAATTGTCTAACTTCTGGTGTAGCACTTTGCCAGCAAGGTTCAAGCAGCCAGCAAAAATGGGATGAGTCCGGAGAACATTATTCTGAATGCTGGTGTGCTCAAATATCCAAACCGAGCAACAGAAATGTATTTGCTGTCTCCGTATCACCCTTGACCGAGAATTAATACTAAAGTCTATGACCTAGATCATATGCGGATTTTGCTCTTCACTTGCATACCAACACAATCGGGCCCGTGATCTGTGCTCGAAAGTTGATTGATCTAGACCTCGAAAGCCCACCCACCAAGGTTGTGTTTATTTCGTCCGATTCTGGGTCTGCTACGCTTTTTCGAAGCTATGAAGATGGCTTTGCAGCATACGCGGCAAGCAAAGCGGCCCTCAATCAGATGATCAGACATATGGCGGCCGAGCTGGCGCGATGTGAGGGAAAGCGGAATAAGATATGCATTCTTGCTATGCATCCTGGTGAAGTCCAGACGTACGTCGCGCTTCTTGTATATATGAGTGTTGCTGATACAAATGCAGTGACATGGCCAATATCGAACTCGATTGGGAGGTAGAAGGGATGATTCAGGCCGACGAAAGTGTGGAGGACATGCTAAAGGTCATTAGGGAGAAAAACGAGAATGATAGTGGCACATTCTGGTGCTGGAATGGCAAGGTAAGTGATTCACTCCCGATTCGTGTTTAGCGTAATCCTTGATCTAATGATATTCAGACCCACCCGTGGTGATTGTGGATGTAGCTGTCTTCGACTGTGTGTTATTCCTCGGTCGAAGAACTCTGTAGCTTACCTATTGTGTGAAAACCGAAATAATTGCATAAACGCGAGAAAATGGGAGTTTTCTGAACTAAGATCACTATATTGAATTTGGGCGTCCTTGCCTACTGTGTCGGTGTCATTGAGTATTGTTGAAATAGTGTTTTCTTCTGCCCCGTTTTTGGTGTATAACTTTCAGCAGAGAGGCCAACTGTGTTACTCCAATTGCTTACAAACTATGCATTGGAGGACGCCACAGTAAGCTTTGTAGGTCATAAGGTGAGGCGACCCCAATAAAACTACAAATAATCCTTCGTTTCAGGGGGGCGTGAGTCTCAGAACACCAATAGTTCCGTAGTCGGGCGGTCAAAGAAACATAAAGTGCGTGTCATTGGGTTCTCGTTAGGCAGCAATGTTCCCGATCGCAAACAAAGTGAATCATAGTGTGTCACCGTGACTGACTTATTCCTAGGGTTCCCCTAACACGGAGGCTCTTAAGCCTGCTTCTCTATCTTACTTCTCCCCTACTGCTTAGCGCTTAGCTTTGGACTGTCTACTTGATGCTTCCACACCGTCTCGGAGTGATATGGTCCTCATAACCCCCGAGCAACTGCTGCGCCACCTGCAATTCGGCGCCTCGGTGATTGCTCTGCTGTTCATTTTCTTCTCTTTACTCGTTAACCATGGCTCCACGACAATTGAAAAGATATCCCGTCCACGCAAAACTGCGGTGATTGTCGGTTCAATCGGATGCATATTCGCATATTATGTCACTCAAGCCGTCGTCCTTTTTCTTGGGCGCCATGAACTTGTGCCAGTCCAGGACCGTATGATCACCACCGTCATCTTTTCCTTGGCATGGGGTTCATTTTGCACCCGCAGACATTCTTTGTTGCCAGAAGTGATCGCCATCTGTGTCATTTCGCTCATCTTTGGGATTCCTGTCTTTGTCGTCGATGCTGTTTATCCAGCCCTTCACACCACGCAACGAGCCCTGCTTGTTGCAGAATCCCTCACACTTGCTCATGCTGGTGGCTTGCTGATATACTCCCTGATTATTTACTCCCGTCTGTGCGTGACGAGTGGGAGCACAATTGAGGAAGAAGCGAGGTCCCACCTCAGCGACTCAGACCATCTCCTACCGCCCGGACGATACCGCGACCATCCTAGCGATCTGGACTCGAATTCAGAGTCAGACCCAGATAACTCTGATGACGAAGATGGCAAAGATCACGATACTCGGACCGGGAAGCTTCGCAAAACAGGTCACTTGGTGGATTATCTTGCAACCTTCAAAGTCTTTCTACCCTTCCTGATTCCGCGAAAAGACATCAAAGTTCAACTGTGCTACCTAGTATGCGCGCTCTGCTTGATAGCTGATCGTGTGTTGAATGTAGTGGTGCCCACTCAGCTGGGTAGTATCGCAGACAAACTTGTCAGACAAGAGCTTGCGCTGTCAGATCTCGGGATATACTTCGCTGTCAATATCCTCCACGGGCAATCGGGTTTGGGGATGCTCATGGAACTAGCTAAGATTCCAATCGAGCAGTTCTCTTACAGGCAGCTCACCAACGCTGCCTTCGGCCACGTCATAGGCCTCCCGATGGAATTTCACGCTGATCGAGACTCGGCCGAGGTCATGAAGGCTATAGAGCAAGGCGCTACACTCACGAATGTTTTGGAAATCATCTTCCTGGAGATAGCTCCAGCAGTCATTGACCTATTTGTTGCGTTTGTCCTTCTTTATATCAAGTTCAACTCGCTAGCGGCATTGTGTATGCTTATTGCAACACTGACATTCATGGCATTGGAAGTCACTGCATCCCGCTGGAACATCGACAATCGTCGGCAGCTGACCAAGGCTGAACGAAGCGAGGCGCGGGTGATGCATCAAGCCATCCAAGGATGGTTGACGGTTTCTTCGTTTAACATGTTCGCGTATGAGAAATTTCGCTTCGCAAAGGCAGTCGACAAACATATGACCGCAAAACAAAGATGGGAATATCGAGATGTGTACTCGACTGGTTTAATGGAGGCATGCTTCCCGGTTTCTTTTGTGGTCCTTGCATTTCTCGTCGCCAATGAGATCAGGCACGGCCGAGCATCGCCCGGAGACTTTGTTTTTCTGATACAATACTGGGACTATCTCATTTGGCCGATCAAGTTTTTGTCGAAAGATTACAGGTGGTTTATCTCAAAACTGATTGATGCCGAACGGCTGCTCGACCTCCTTACCACCAAACCGACTGTGACTGACAAGCCCGATGCTTTTGATCTTGGTCCTGTTCAGGGATACGTCGCATTCGAGAATGTGTTTTTCTCATACAACAACAGGGAACCGGCTGTCCGTGATGTCAATATTTCTGCAGCTCCCGGGGACATCATCGCCTTAGTTGGCACCACCGGGGCCGGAAAGTCATCGCTGATGAAGCTATTACTTCGCTATTATGACGTAACGTCTGGGTGTATCAAGATTGATGGTCATGATATTCGCGATGTGACACAAAGTTCTCTCCGGGGGGCATTGGGCATTGTATCGCAAAACCCTATCCTTTTCAATGCCTCGATCATGGAGAACCTACGGTACGCCAATTTGGATGCCTCCGATGAAGAAATCCATCGAGCCTGTCAAGCGGCTGCAATCCATGACAGAATTTCCTCTTTCCCAGAGGGCTATCAAACCAAAGTCGGGGAGCAGGGAATCAAGTTATCTGGCGGCGAGGTCCAGCGCTTAGCGATCGCGCGAGCCTTTCTAAAGGACCCATCCATTCTTGTGCTGGACGAGGCAACCAGTGCCGTCGACACCGAAACCGAGGCTAAAATTCAAGAAGCGCTGAAAAATCTAATCAAGGACAGGACAACCTTAGTCATTGCCCACAGGCTGTCGACTGTGGTCAAAGCAGATCGCATCTTTGTGCTGGATAATGGCACCATTGTTGAAAGTGGGACTCATCGGGAATTGCTTGGGAAACAGGGGCGATACTACAACCTCTGGCATGCACAACTTCATGGAGATGAGGAGCCCATGATGATAGATATTTAGTCTACAGCCTGAATTGAGGTCGTTTTCTTCAAAGGATAGTCGGCCTGAAAGTCATCAACAGCAATATTCAGACGGGTTGGACAGGCTTCAGCGATCCTGAATAGCGGTGAAGGGACTACTGGAAAGCAAGGAGAGAGATCTCACAGAACCTTCATATGTTCATTCAACAAGGCTCGGCATTATCTAGATCGACGGCTGTTGCGGGCCTTGCGCGTATCCCTCACCACATTAGTTTCGTTTGAGGCTTCGTGGATTTGGATATTCAGGCGGCCTCTCCAAAGTGTGATCTTCAATAAAAGGCGGAACAGATCCATCGCCATTGCAATCGTGAAGATGTGCGACATTCCCGTTGACCATCTCGCGTTGCCCCGGATTTGCCTTATAAACGGCCTCTCGTCTGCTGAAATGAACCACGATGAGTGGAAGGTTGTTTTGCTTTTGTTCAGGGAAATGCCCCAGTTTGGCATCATAATGGTTGTTAGAGATATCGAACGTAAAGAAAATGCGCGCTCTGTAGGTTCCAGATCCCTATCCGGTCAGAATCCGGAAGTCGAAGTCAACGCCATGTCTACCGCTCTATCCTCGAATTGGCTCTCCTAGAGGGCATAGGAACATATGGATTTAGACGGCTGTCGATTCTTCTGCTAGCATTCTATGGAGGACTCAGGAAGATCAAAAGATGCGCGTGGATTCTCAGGAAGTGTGTTGTACATTGCCGTGCTCATGACAAATGCCGTCCCGTCTACTTTTGTTTCAAAATTTCAAACTGAGAGTGGCCAGATGGAGAACGCAGGAACCTAGCGAATCTTCCACCTGGTCTCAACCACCCCAGCCTCACAATCAAAGGGAGGGGCTGTTCTGCCAAATGAGATCCGCGCCGCAAGGATCATGCTTCGGCCTACCAGGTGCTTGGTTTGCGTTTTCGCTATCACTACTAGTTGTAGTGTGAAGGAAACGGAGGGCAATGTTGATCTTACTAATGCGGCTTTAGCAAGAAAGGCACATAAAGTAAAATAAGAGGTCGATAATCCTTCATGACAAACCGAAAGTTCTTGGCTCTTGCATATGGCTTAAACTAAACTCAATAGACGAACCGCATCGGGTGAGGCTTGTCCCTGAAAGAGGAGAGGGGAAGAGTCAAGCGGTCAAGTCCTAAGGCAAACCCCGCCTAAAGCGCTTGGTTGTGTGGCTCATCTGCCTGGTGGCCTGATTCATTTATAGAATACGCTAGATCTAATACTAGTTAATCCGGGACAGATGATTAGGAGGAAAGGAGCGGCCGCCCCGGGCGCCCTACGCCAAGAATTGCATGGCAGAAAATAGAAAATCGGGCTAAGTGGAGACTGGCTCAGACTGTCTCACTTGTACATACAACAGGTACCCGAGACATGCGCAGCACGCACCTAGCGCAGGACGTTCTATATGCTCCCTTTGTAGTGTTACATCCACTAATTTGAGTGACATCTATTTTGGGGAGACATTGCAGAGTAACCATGAGAAACCGCAAAGACATCGTGATGATCTATGCCTCGTTAAGTCGTTGATCCAGTCGTTGGTCTTGGCACCATCAACAACTGAATGGGGTTGAGAAAAGGCATAAATACCTTTCCTCCTTCTGTTGTTGCTCATGTTTTTTTTTTTTTTTTTCTTGATATCATCCACAAACCAAAGCCTTTCACAGTATAGACATTCTTCATCCAAGCATATCTATCTCCACATCCGATAATCTTCGATATCGCAAACATGCAGTTCACTCAGCTTTTTCTGTCTACTCTCTTCGCCTCCTCGGCAGTCTTGGCCGCCCCTGTGTCTATGATGGCCTCCAGCCCGGAGTGGACCATTAAGGACATGAAGCGCGTTTGCAACGCCGCCGACACTGAGTGCACCTGGACCTTTGGCATCGAAATCGGCAAGGGCGCTATTACCGAATGCACCTATGTTGAGAAGGGCACCGACGCCTCCCAGATTGTGGGAGGAGGCCCTTCTACCTGCGGCAAATATACCATCACTTCGAACTGGAGCGGCCAGTTCGGCAAGGGCCAGGGCTTCACGACCTTGGCCGTTGTTGACAACCCGACCAGTCAGATCATCTACCCGGCCTACAAGGACACGCAGCTTGTGAACGGGACTGTTGTCAAGCCTGATCAAAGCTATGCCCCAGCCGCTCTCCCCTAAACGCGGGAACGACCCGAGAAAGGAGAGGGGGAGCAAAACTGTTAATGCATTGAGGCTGATTCGAGCCGACACCGAAATTCGCTCTCTCTCCAATAACGAACTCAATGAGCTCTTTCTATACTTAATATCTGTTTTGAAGGAATGGAATAGCGGGATGATGATATTTGCTTGCATGGGTACATTAGGGTAATATTTGTTTATAGTTAATACAGAAATTTGTCCACAGAAAGATCCACTCAGATATAAAAAGAAGTGTCTCTAAGCAAGTGGCTTTGTTGTATCCTTAGGTTTGGTATCTGGCTGTTTGTGTTGTTGGCTCTTCCGCATCTCATCAGTCTGTAATAGGCGTTGGATTGACCGCCGATGGCACTTGAAATCGACTACTGCAAGTAGATCTTTGATCGTCGCATGCGGATCTTCCAATATGCGTTGTTTGATACGTGCAAGGTCGTCTTCGGTGAGCTTTTTTGGTGCCCCTGATCGAGGTTTGGTAACATTGTTATCGCGCGAACTTTCTCGTCGAACTGTGCTCTTTAAAGTCCCAACTGGTATGTCTGGGAAGCGCTCGGATAGGCGCGTATATGACCAGCCTTGGAGTTTGAGCTCACAGATGCGTGAGCGGGTTTGGGGGTCTAATTCTTTCCCACGGCGAGTCATGGTGGTGGTGGTTGAGGGTGATTCAAAACAACGCGCGTGAGACCAAAGAGGGACTTGACCATCCCACGTGATACATTACATCAGGGAAACTTTACCGTTACAGCTTCATCACGCTTCCACCCCCACACCCGCTGTACCCAACTAAGCGCCTGAGATCGTTCTGCCCTGAGAGGCGTCCTTCGTCAAGCCCCGCATCGCTGGGCCATCTTCCTACCGTTCCTTTTCCCGCAGAATCCATGCGTCGGGCGGCTGTCCAGGCTTTCCGTACTGCTCGGCGTGCACCAGTATGGAAAGTTGCCGGTAAACGGCCGTGCCCGCTGTCCTTCTCCAACAACCAGGTTCGAGGTCTGCGGCCCTATTCTGGCGGCAAACGTCCCTATTCCTTTGTGCCAGTTGCGCTGCAGTCCTCCATGTATCTCCGCAACTTCTCCCTTGCCGTTATCTCCACCGCTGTCGCTTCTGGGGCCTGGTACGCGTATCAAGGCGACCGCAGCCCCCAATCCGTCGCAACACAGCTTCGAGGGTTTGCCTCCAGCGCGATCGCATCTGCCTACGCCGAGGGCCCGACAGAGTCGCCGCGCCGTGCTCTACTGGTGGATAACGACCAGTTCTACACCACAACGTTGTCTGGCGATCAGCCGCTGTCTAAAACCACCGACGATTCGGATCGTGGGGTTCTCGAGATGTTGACCCCCGAGCAAGCTACCCAGAAGCTCCGGAAAAACGAGGAGTCGTATCTTGTCAATCGGGGCCAAGGTGTTGTCCGCTACGATATCGTCCAGGTTCCGAGCAATTCGCCCATTGAAGACGACCATGCCGAGAAGATTGTTGAGGTGCCGTCGTCTGTGGCTGCTGCCCAGAATGGCGAGCCGAACAGCGATTGGATGTTCTGGGCTGTGTTCGATGGGCATTCGGGCTGGACGACCTCCGCCAAGCTGCGCAATGTTCTCATTTCATACGTCGCCCGTGAATTGAACACCACCTACAAGGCCGCCGCCACCAACCCATCCTCACTGTCTCCGACATCCGAGGCTGTGGACGCGGCTATCAAGCAAGCCTTCTTGCGTCTCGACCATGATATCGTGAACGAAAGCGTGGAGAAGGTCTTCAAGTCCAACTCTCGGCGGGTCGCCGCCGAGCTCCTCGCGCCTGCTCTGTCTGGATCGTGTGCGCTTCTTAGCTTCTACGACTCCCAGTCCCAGAATATCAAGGTCGCCGTTGCGGGTGACTCGCGCGCCGTTCTGGGCCGTCGTGGTCCTAGTGGGAAGTGGACCGCCACGGCTCTGTCCGAGGACCAGACTGGCGGCACCCCCTCTGAGATGAAGCGTCTGCGCGAGGAACACCCCGGCGAACCGAACGTCGTCGCGAGGGGTCGCATCCTGGGTCAACTGGAACCCAGCCGCTCCTTCGGCGACGCCGCCTACAAATGGACGAAAGACATCCAAGACAAGATCAAGCGGCAATTCTTCGGACGTACCCCCCACCCGCTCCTTAAGACACCTCCCTACGTCACCGCCGAACCCGTCATCACCACCACCAAAATCGATCCCTCGCAAGGCGACTTCGTCGTCATGGCCACTGATGGACTTTGGGAAATGCTGAGCAACGATGAGGTCGTCGGTCTGGTAGGCCAGTGGATCGAGCAGCAGCAATCCAGTAGCAGCACTAGCAAGTCTTGGATGTCCAGCTGGCTTGGCTTTGATGGTAAGAAGCAACTCCCCGTGGAGGCAGCCGACCATGCCTCGACCGAAGGCCAGCGCCGCCCTATTCGCCAACAGCAGTATGCCATTCCTGACGCCGCGAGCCGCTTTGTCGTGGAAGACAAGAATGTAGCTACGCACTTGGTGCGCAATGCCATGGGCGGTAAAGATAAGGATATGGTTTGTGCGTTGTTGACGCTGCCCAGTCCCTACTCTCGTCGATACCGGTGGGTTCTTTCTTTCCCTCCTTTAACTCTTGTCCCTTTCACTAATCTTTTCTTTCAGTGACGACCTCACGGTCGAGGTCATTTTCTTCGGCCAGGGGACCGACTCTCGCACCGTCGAGATAAACAAGGAAGCAAGTGCGGCCGAGGAGAACCCCAAGCCCAAGCTCTAAATGGCGTTGTCTTCGAGCTCTCAAGGGATCGGTTTTTCTTTCTTTCTTTCCATATCGACCCAGAATATGTGACTAGATACCACGAGCTCATTTCATTCTTCATCTTCTGGGTGGTTCCTATGGTCTTTTCCATGCAATAGACTTTCCTGAGTGGCAGGCTTTCTGCCTGGTGAGCGTTTTCAGCGCCATTTGTTCTAACACGATTCATCTATGAACATGCCTCTTTCTTCCAATCTAACCTAATTTACATGGAACGAGAGATGCCCGCATTCTCATTTTCCAAACATCTTGTTAAGAATACACGAAGGTATTGACCTGGTGGGGTGAATGAAGGGTGCTCCATCCTGGGACTGCCTTGGCTCAACATCGAAAGCTGTGAGCTGTGGATTGGGCAGCCTGGTGACAACAGGTGACCAGGGTCCCTATCCTTTATGGTGTGAGGCCGAAGTGCAGAAAGTAAATAGTGAAAATGCCTCAGGTCCCGCCCTTGAATCTCGTAGGCGCAGTTATGGCCTTTGAAAAGTGGCCAAAAAGCATCGCGGTGAACATGCTGCCGTATATGAACCATCGTGCTGTAACTATGTCCAAAGCAGACATCTCTCTCCAGTTCGGAGTGACACTGGAAGTGAATCCACCGAACCGAAGAGCGACGCCTCCACAGACTGCAATCACTTCATATTCACCTGGAATGGATCCTCCTGGCCTGGTCTGCTGTACCTGACATGCAAACCCCTCCAAGGCGCAAGTGGCTGGTCCGGGAACAAGAACTTCTCCAAAAGATAGGTCTGCACCGTAGCGACATTTGAGCTGGTAATCCAATAGATCATCAAGGCACAAGGCAGGGATTGAATCCAAGCCGAGTACGCGATGAGGAGCGATAATCCCTGGAGACCAAACTTCAGACCGGCAAATGCAGCGGAGCGGAACATCAGGAACTTGGGCATGTCGGCCATCTCTGCGGGCTGTGGCGTCTTCCACCCTCTCCGAATATTAAGGATGAGCGAAGCGGCCAGCACAGCCGGCAAGATTCCCGTGGGATCTCCCGCGAGCAGATCCGGGAACCAAAGCGCGCCTTCGTTCGCCAGCGTCGGCTCCACGGTCAGATGGAGAGACTCGGCGGTGGCTTGCTCTGACTCAAAGAACGACAGAGCCCATGGGAGAAGTCCGTTTTTGGCGCCGCTCATGCCGCGCAGACCCTCCATGAGCGCAATCCAGACTGGTATTTGCCAGTATGGCGTGTACTTGTAGTGTCCGGAGACCCCCCAGCGTTTGTGCATTACGGTGTTCGCCCACCGTAGTCTTTTCTCCACTGTCTTCGAGGCCTCACCGGGCTGCAATTGCTCGGCCATGATTTTGGTTTTGTAGACCTTGCTCCACGCATATTTGAGCGGGAGCAGGTCCCGCTCTTTGCGCGCGTGGATTCTCATGTAGACTTGGAGCGGGAGAGCGACTGCTGTCCGGACGATGACCGCGGTCAGGGGAATTGATAGGACCCATGGCAGGTGTGAGACGGAGTGGACGCCGTGGATAAACCAGGTGGAGGCATCGAGTACTTCGTTCAGGACCCGGGTGGGCTTGGTCGGGTGGAAATGGCGGATCTGCTGCGCGTGAGGCAGTAATGGCGGTATTCGAGCTGCACGGAGGTGTGCCACATAGAGGGGATTCATGATAGAATGAAGGACAGGGATGGAGGAAAGTCAAAAAGTAAATCGGGTGCGCAAATGAGGAAATGGACCAGGCATCATGTGACCCTCCATCAACACTGTCAACTGATACGTATGAGTGCTCCGATGATCATGATGCCCTGTGGCCCCTCCTCCCTTCACTCACTCACTCTGCTCCTTCACTTTCTTTCCTTCCTCTCTCTCAATCACTTACCGATCTTACTATGTGCAGTCGCTGGTAACCCGGCTGTTCCACCTCAACAATAACAACAACCATGTTGGCCTTTTTATCCCACGCCCTACTCGCCCTTCTCGTACTCACCGCCACTGCGGTGCTCCTCCCTCAACTGCCTAGCGGTCTTTTGGCACTCATTTTCCGTGGGGTGGGCTGGCTGATTCGGAAACGCACTCGTTCTCGACGGGAATACGTGATCGCGCGGGCGCGATCGGAGGAGGAGGAATGTCGGGCCTCGCAGGCGAAGGACTCGGCGTCGCGCAGCCAGGTCGAAGACGAAGAAGGCTGGGAGAAAGTCGATACCGGGGAGCGGCCTTCGAGTAGTGATGGTAGTGGTGCTACTGGGACAGAGGAAGGGAACAAAGACGACTGGAACGGTATTGTTGGCTTCTTCCATCCTTTCTGGTATGTTGTCCTCTTTCGAAGCTATGCTGCACCGCGAAGGCTAACGGTGAACGATATAGTAATGCTGGCGGAGGTGGCGAGCGGGTGCTGTGGGAAGCAGTGCGCGCGACACAGAGGCGCTGGCCAAAGGCCATCTGTGCTATCTACACGGGCGATCACGAGGTCAACAAGACAACGATGCTGGAGCGGGTGGAGAATCGATTCAACATCAAATTGCACGCGCCGACAGTGGTGCTGCTATACCTGACGACGCGCAAGTACGTGATCGCCAGCTCATACCCGTACATGACGCTGCTGGGCCAGTCGTTAGGGTCACTGGTCGTAGGCTACGACGCGTTCACGCTGTTGGTGCCGGATATCTTTATTGATACCATGGGCTACGCTTTTACTCTGGCCCTTTGCAAATGGCTTTTCCCCTCGGTTCCGACTGGCGCCTATGTTCACTATCCTACCATCTCAACAGATATGATCGCCTCCCTCGATGACCAAACCGGAGTCCAGGGGATCAATTCTGGAGCGGGCAAGGGAGGTAAGGGAGCAATCAAGCGGCGGTACTGGGAGATGTTTGCGCAGCTGTACGGCTGGGTTGGGCGCCACGTTGACGTCGTCATGTGCAACTCGTCGTGGACCGCGGCGCATATTCGCAAACTCTGGGGCAATAGCAAGAGCAGTGGTGCAGATAACACCGACGGAGCGGGAACAGCATTCTCGCCGGCGGTGGTGTTCCCACCAACAGGCGTGGCCGAGCTAGAATCGAGCATTTCAGTCGACGCAGAAAGCGAGAATACCCGTCAACCGACACTGCTGTACATCGCGCAATTCCGGCCCGAGAAGAACCATCCGCTCGTCCTGCGTTCCTTCGCACGGTTCCTCCACGACCGAGCCAAGAACCCAGAATTCGCAGACTATCCGCCTGCACGTCTGGTGCTGATCGGCTCCGTGCGCCAGTCCAGCCCCGATGAAACCCATATCTACAACCTGCGGCTTTTGGCCCACGAACTCAAAATCCGCGACCAGACCACCTTCCTTTGCGACGCCAGCTGGCCCGCCGTGCTCTCGCACCTCAGCACTGCCTCAGTCGGCGTCAACGCCATGTGGAACGAACACTTCGGCATCTGTGTTGTCGAGTATCAGGCCGCGGGACTCATCTGCGTTACACATAACTCCGGCGGGCCGCGGGAGGACATCGTCGTCGACCTCGGCGACGGGCCGACGGGCTTCCACGCTGAGACTGAGGAACAGTTCGCTGCTGCTTATGAGGCGGCTCTTACGCTTTCACAGTCGGAGAAGATTGATATGCGGCAGCGGGCTCGTCGTTCGGCGCGCAGGTTTACAGAGGAAGAGTTCTCGCGCAAATGGTTGGATCAAGTGCAGAAGCTTGTTGATGCATCAAGATAGTTTCGGGAACAGGGTTTGTCAGTTAGATCTTACGAGGCGCATCTACACCATATCACTCTACCCACAGTGTAGATACATGGCGGAGAAAGTAGTGTGTAGTTCGAGAATTGTAACCTTAACCTTGTAACCGTGTGTCGGGTTGAGCAAAGAGAAAAGGCGGTATATGGATTCAGCCTCAAATATATAAAATCCAATAATGATCAAGTCAACAAAAAGCCAGAAGGTACTCGGGTATGATCGAAGGGAATCAAAAAATGCATCGTGAAGCCATATGACAAGGGTTCTTCCAAGAGCAAGCAGTTCAAAATAAAGATCAAATCAAAAGGAAGGCAGTTGCAATGCCGGTGGAGGTGTCAAGTCAAAAAGAATCGTCAGACCAAACGAGTGAAGAAAAAGCAAAAGCCTCGCCGACCAACGGCGGAATCTCCTACCCAGCCCTGTATCCCAACGCCGGTGCCTTTATCTATACAGAAGGCATGAACACACGCAAAAAAAGAGTGGAAAAGAAAGAAACCAAAAAAGATAGAGAGAAGGAGGGGGTGTCACCCAGTCCATCCCTGACCGGCATATATATTCCCCTGATTTCCGCCGTAGCTACCACCCATCCCAGACACGCTGGAGAGATCGTCATCGTCAAAGCCAAACTCACCACCAGAACTGGCTTCAAAGCTGCTTCGACCGCCAATATCGCTTGGATCATCTGCCCCAGCGGGAATCTGATCCCATTGGAGCGTTGAAAGTGCAGGATACTGAGCAAGCAGCGCGGCAGGCAGTACAAAGTTTCCTGAAGTCTGCCCATCCATGCCAGGCACGCCGGGCATGACGAGGGGTTGCGGGACTGGCTGGAGGTGACCAGCAGGCTGTTGTTGCTGCTGCTGCTCGATCATGACTCGCTCGCGTTCTTGCGATTCTTCGTCCAGAAGTGGCTTGATACATACGCGGCCAGCTTCAGATCTAAAGTGGCGGCCAAGGGCATCTGCACGCGCGAAACGTCGACCGCACCCCCACTGTCCACTCCTCGACAGGTCGCCCCGACAGACGAACTTCTTTTCTCCCGAGTGCAGTCCTTCGTGGCGCTTTCGGTCGTGCTGTCGCGCAAATGCTTTACCGCAGACAGTGCACACGAATGGCCTTTCGTCTGTGTGAGTGCGCAGATGAGACCGCAGGTTGTATGCTCGGGTAAACCGCTTGGGGCACAGTGTACACTGGAAGGTAGCCGGGTGCTTTTGAACTCGCTTGGAGTCACCAGGCCCGGCGCCCGGGCGCTGCGGATCGGCCAGATCCAAGATATAATTTCGGCTGTCGATCGACGATGTCGAAAGACGTCGATTGGCTCGTGATGGTGAAGTATCGCGCGAGCTGGGGTTACTGCGTGAATGGCCACCTGTCGAACCGAGAGGCGAAAGGGACCGTGGAGAGGTGGAAGCTTGAGGCTCGAGACTGGATACCGAACGTGCGGGTGATCGTGAACGGGAGGCAGGGTGTGTGTAAGGGTCGGATTTACTGCGCATACGGGATCCTGCACTAAAAGTTAATATTGATCATTTTGAAGCCGCAAGAAACACTCACGCATAGCTGGCGGGCTTAGCGAGTCCAGGTTTGCACCTGGCGGCTTCGACGGCCCAAAGCTCGGGATTCGAGAAGGAGGAGCAAACTCCACATTGATCGACGGGGGTGCCATCTGAGACGCCTGCCCTATGTCGCCCATGTTCATCATCCCGTCATCAGTGGGCATACCATACATGTCTGTTCCTACCGAAGGAGCCTGGGGGTTCATGTTGCCCGGAAGATAAGGCGCATTCGGCACCACATCTCCTCCCTGTTGAGGCATCAGTTGTGGCGATATATATGGGCTGTGAAGCGGGCTGAAACCCTGCTGCTGCTGCTGTTGTTCGGAAAGGGTGAACGACTCAATACCCAGTGCGTTATCATAGAGAGCTGGGTCGTTCTGTGGCGCCAGCGACGGAGATGTGTTGTTATCAAGGCCATCAAACTCGTGCTGAGAGACATATGGGGAATGAGTGGCCGATGACACCTCGGACACCTCCGAGGGCGCTCTTCGGTGACCCTGAAAGGCAGTGTTGTTCATGACAGACTGCCAATCGTGGTTTGGCTGGGCAGTCAAATAGTTTGCCGCCGCTGGGTCTAAAGAAGTATTGCGCGAATGTTGCGGGGTATAGAAGGTGCCCGGCGTGGAGCCAGAAGGCGAAATGGCGCCAGGAGATGAGCGGTGCTGATCCTGCGGCGACGTTTGGGACGAAACGGAGGCATTGGACACCGGGCTGACCAGGTCGGCCGGGTTAACTGCTTGGTTCACGGACTGCCGATGCTGTTGCATCTGAGGATCCAGCAGTAAGGACGAGTCATATTCGGAGCCAGTGACGCTGTGGGGACTGCGATTGGGGTAGCCGAACTCGAAGTCCGAGGGGTTGGTATTGAGGAGATTGGAGAAGTTCTCATCGGGCTGCACTGAGCGTAGGCCTGCGGAAGACTGCTCGAGCTGATTGACAAAGCTCGCCTCGAAAGACTGGGACATGGGCATGTTGCTTGTGTTGATCGAGGGAGGGAAGCTCTGCGGTGCTCCAGTGAGGTAATCCGTGGGAAAGTTATACGAGTCGCCTCCCGCGTTGGGATTGTTATTGTCGAACGCGGGGGCCGCTGAGAAAGTCGACATGGAGGGGTCCACACCTAGTGCACCTGAAGGATCGTGATATTGGGGTTGACCGGACGGGCTGACACTGCGTGCCGGAGAGGTCGCCGATCCATGGCCTTGGTCGTGAGAAGCCATAGTGTGCGAAGCGCTTATGATCCGTCAAATCGCGATCCGGTTCTAGCGGGGAGGGGTTAGGGGAGGGTTATATGCGATAAGGAGGTGCTAGGAGTGGCGGATGTCGATTATGGATGTCAGCTGTCGCGCACGAGGCTCATTGTCATCGGGAGGGCATCGAGGAAGGAGAGGGATGTAAGGCAGACAGGAGGCGAGATGTGTGTGAGAGAGTTGTGTGGGTTGCAGGGAAGATCGAGATCGATGAATGGTCTGCACGTGCTCAAGGCGGTCTGGCGGGAGTAGAAGTATGGATGGATGGGCTACTCGGCGCTTAGAGAGATAACAGAGAAAACCCCAGGGGTTAGTATGGTTTAATTGCTGGCAGTGCCACAATGGGAAGGGAATCCGAGTTCCAAATAGTTGGGGCGGATCCGCACGGAGGCTCGATGGATCTACATGACAAAAAGACGGTGCCTAAGCATTCCAGGGAAATGGCGCCCCGGGGACTGCCCCTACGGCAGGGAGCAAACACTTGCAGAACAAACTATTTTTGCCCGGATTCTGTCCGATGGGTCTCCCCACATTTACTATAGTTACATAGATAGGAGATAGCGAACACCCAGGTGTATACATACATACAGTGGAATCACCATAGGCCAATTAATAACAAAACTTTTGTCGTCGGTCCTTACGTTTCGAATAATGATACTACTACGTAGTAGGTGATGAGCATACCCAGTGTGGGAACTAGTTTTGCCAGCGGGCAAAAAGCGGGCGGCTAACGGTCTTAGCTCTGCACAGCCACCGAGCTGAGGTGCGCCAACGCAACTAGTCCACGCATCAGGCATCAGCCCTAGCCCTGTTGCAGAGGCTCAACAAGGCTGACCCGTGTGCCTTGCGGAGTACAGATGCAGTATACATCAGTTCTGGTCTTTTGAACCGAACCATAGAACAAATCATAATAGAGGGTAACTACAGTTGCTACAGCTAATCGTTGTTTACTTAAGAGAATACCACGCGTAGGTCTCTCTGGACTACGACATCACTACCGCTGGCTAAATTACCACCGATTGTCGGATCAAATCACTCTATCTGGAAATTTCCCTGATTTCGCAAACGAAGTAACTAAATAGGGCCAACTCTCACAACGACATCCTTGTGTCTCTCTCTATATCTCCCATAGCGCACCCAGACTCGTCCTTTCACCCGTCATTCGTATAAGTAAGAAACAAATTATCCGCGCAACTACCCCCCAGCCCGACATTATCCACCCAAGCAGGCTTCCAATAATAAATCCCCAATTCCCCCGAAACGCCCTCTATAACGCTCCCAAATCATCCAAGAATGTCTGCTGCCCAGCGACAGAGAACGGGATGCTCGTCAACCCGGACGGGGACGCATGCTCCGTGTCCGGGCAGGAGTATGGCCACTTCATCTCCACGACAAGTACATCCTTCCCATAGGTTGAGTGCAGGTTCCTGGTAGCGGCTTGTCTCGCCCAGTGGCCAGAGAAGCCCGTTGTTGATGGATACAATCGCCACCGTGTCGTTCTCCGCGAAGGTGCTGCATACTTCCAAGGTGTAGTTGTAGAGTTGCCAGGTTAGGGTGTCAATGTCTGTGGTAAACCAACGGAGGCGTAGTCTTTTCCATAAACGTCAGCGTCATAGTTCTTTTCCCAGTGCGCTGGTATATACTAGATACTAAATATTAACCTGATCACCCGGATCCGCCCACGTATCACTCAAATGCAAATCCAAATACGTCGTCATCCTCTGCGCCTGCATCCTCTTTGCGAGCTCGACATTATAGTCGAGATCGCAAGACCCGTCACTGGGATTCACCCGCACCCGCTGGCGCACAGAGTTGATACCCGCATTAGCTAGAATAATCTCTAGCTCCTGGGTGGTCCCGTCTACATTCTTGTATGAAATCCCTGCATCTTCTTCCACGAGCAAGGAAGATATATCTGGGCCACGGATGCTGAGTTCTGCAGAATAACCCTTCAAGTGGCTAGTAGGATTAATAGTCGGTTTCCCGAAGCATGGGAATCCGTAGAAACCGGTCTCGCCTCCCCAGATCCACACAGGGAAGTTGGTTCCACGCACATCCATGTTGTTATAGTTGAACCTCTCTTACTTCGTTCCAGGGCACTGTATTTTGCAAGTCCATTATGTGAACTATAACACTGTATTCTTTGCGAAACTGCCCCCTCCTGGGCACTGACCTTCCCGAGGTGTGCATATGTGGTCTGACCCACCGAAACCGGGTGGGCCCGCCCCCAGTTCCATGGGGCCACGATCGCCTATTACGCCTTTGAACCACTTGCTAGATACGTGAGCGTAGCGCGGACCCTGCGTTCTTTAAATGAACAAACTGCTGGCCAGGGACTTTCCTTCTTACTTTAGCATCTTCCAATTTCTGACACTGCTAAAGAAGAATATGGTCTCACGAACGCCGACTCTGAGTAATTTGCCCCCCGAGTGTGTGGAGGAAATCATGGAATACCTCGACCTTGATGCCCTTAAAGCCTTGCGTCTGAGCAGCCGCGAACTTTGCATAGACTCCACTGGCCCTCGCTTCAAGAAGTTTATTAGCTGCCAGACAATGGAAGTGACCAAAATCGCTCTTATGTCATTTCGAGAGTTGGCCGTGCACCCTCTTGGTGCCGCTGTTAAAAACCTGAAGATTATGGCCACCGTCTATGATCAAACTTTACAGCTAAAAGTTCTCAACACTAGGGAGAACAACACTACCGATGAGGTGCCACCCCTCTCGCAAGCTCAGGACGATTTGGCCTGGCTTCAATCCCAGCAACAGGGCCAAGATGAAGTATCGTACGACGAAGCAGTTGATCATCTCGCTTTCTGTCTAGGGCATTTCCGGACGCTGGATCATATTGAGCTTGATGCTGTCCTTGTCCAGGGCCCTAGCACTATTATGGCTACCGACACTGGACAGACCAACTGGTATCCGGTATGGACGCGGGCGTCGCGTATCTACTGTATGACAATGGAGGCCATCGCTTCAAGTGGGGTTGGACCAAAGAGCTTGACTGTCTACCAAGCGACGCCGAGGTGTAGTGTTCCGCTATACGATATCGCAGCCAATATTGAAATGCTTTATTCAGCCAATTTGAAGAATGCCGGCAAATGCATCGAGAATGTTGCCCTCAGTATCTCGACTAAGGTTGCCACCGGCGCAACAGAAAGACCACCCCGAGCCCCTGTGGCATGTCATGACATGCCATATGATAAAGGACCCTTCTCAGCTGCGTCTATTAGCTCACTTGGCGAGGACAAATTTCTTGAAGTAGAGAAATTTGATGGACTTGCGCGGTTTCTTGAAATCACGCCAAATCTCAAAACGCTTGAGATTCACTTCTACCAAACGCTACTTAAGCCACGTACTCAATACCAGCTGATGTTCAACACGGTCGCAAATGAAATCCGTCTACCTTTGCTTCGACAATGTAGCCTACGTGGCATCACCACCAGAGAAGATTCTTTGCTCCAGTTCCTTTCCAATCATTCACAGATCACTGATCTCACCCTGAGCCAAGTTTCCCTCGCCCCTGAGGAGACCTGGGGATCTATTTTCACGCATCTTAGCCGGAAAATGCCTCATCTTGAACGCCTTCACCTCTCGACCTTGAGATTGGGAAATAATAGTATGATTAATCTGCATCCCGTCTGGGAAGATCATTCCAAAGAACTCGAAGAGAATTCACGCAGTGGGATCTATTTTGTCCATACGAAGGTGTTCAATGCAGATGATCTCCGCAAGGGACTCGAGTTTTGGCCGATGCCAGTGGCTTCGATGCAAGGATCCCAAAGCGCTAGCTTGTGGATTTTATCTGTGAAGAAAGAGTATGGGCCCCCATGGTCGAACAGAGAGGGTATAAGCATGATATAATAACTTGTATAGCTTGGAAAAGGCCCTTGCAGTTACTAAGCTCAAGATAGAGAAATTGACAGGAGGCTCGATGAGTGGATTAATTTAGAGCTATTCAGCTGGATAACAAAGGCAATAGATCGATAGATCTTGGAGGTAGAGTTACTAGTTTAAGAGGTCGATCTAGCTAAGGTAGCTATTAGATACACGATGAAATATCATGCATCCTCTTCATAGTTCTGATATGAGGCTTTGGAGCTCCCTGATTTTCCCTAGAAAAGCCTGTTTCTATTGGCCATTGCCAATTGTTTAGCCCTCCGACGGATCCCAAACATCATACGTCAAAACAACATTCTCCTTCCAGAGCCTCGCTGCGGCTAATTGTCCGCAATCATCCAATGCCCTCGGATCATATCGTCCCATTTTGTTAGTAACAACTAGTTATTCAACACTACTCGAGATATCTATCTTTATCGCTAAGGAAGGTTGAACAGCAACACAATCTAGGAGCTCATGATGTATCTTTGTACATCAAGATTCGATCTCGAAGATGAGCAGATGGCCGTACTAGTAGAGTTCTTCTCCTATGATGAGATTGAAATAGCCAAGGAAGAGAAGGATGATAAACCTAATAGGATCGAGCTAGATCTAATTAGTGATACAGAGGAATAGGATGCGCAACAAAAAGTAATGAGGATCTAGATAAAGCCATTGAGCCCCCTCTTCCTTCACTGAAGGCTCACTCAGTTACGTGCATAGGGCGCAAGCGTAAAAGCCGCGAGGATGATGTGTTTGAGTTTCATCAATAATAGTATAATAAAGTCGCTTTGTTTGATTTACATAGATGCTGAGATGCAAGAGAGCCGTAAGTGAAATACAGAGAATTACAGAGGAAAATGCATAAGTTACACAGTCATGGGGTTGCCTGATATTTGCATTGTTTGTGACCCGTTCAGGTACCCAATGGGTCCTGCAGGTACCCATCTGAACCCATTACCCATCGCGGGTTGAAGAGTTAGACCCAAGACCCGACCAATTTGCGGGTTGGGTCGGGTCGGGTAATGGGTCCGATGGGTTCTGCCGAAGTCTAAGCCTGGATAACACCTCTTTGCACAAATGCGACCCCACCTAACCACACAAGTAACCAATAATGGTATTGCTTCTCCAGACAGCTCAACAGGTACATATGAACACGTATCAATCCCCCCTTATCCAGCTCACGATATTATCAATTCTACCGAAAAAGGGGGGATGCAATCTTTATTCCACAGATCAAATTGAGACCGCTGTAGAATACAAATGACCTTAGAGATTTTGTCCCGATATGACTGTAGTAGTTGGCTTTTGCACGTCCTAGTAACAGAATCTACCAATCAAAGATTGTCTTGAGCGGAACCTACTTCGATGGATTGTTCAGGATAAGCAAGCTTTTACTATCCTAGAATCTGAGGCTTTCCAGCAAGTCTTTGAAGATATCCTAGGGGTTTCTTTGCCATTTACCTCTCGAGCTACTGTAGTTCAACGACTACAGGATCAATTCGAAATTCAACGATTAGGATTGAAGGACAGCTTGGCTAATACATGCAAAACAATTGCATTCTCCATTGATTGGAGGAGCCAAAACCACTACCCTATTCTTGGTATTATAGGTAGGTAATTGACTGATTAATTAACTAATTGATTAATAATTATAGGCCACTGGCTCAGAGAGGATTTCTACTATCGTGAGGAGGTTCTTGAATTCGGCCAAATCTTTGGACCTCATATAGGGGAGAATATTGCTGCCACGGTCTATCAAACCTTGGTAGAATCAGATCTCATATCAAAATTGACTACAATCACTGGGGATAATGCCTCAAATATTCAAGAGATGGTTTCTAAGCTTCATTTTACTTTGGAAGAGATATCTTTGCAACTAATTCGATTCCGTGGAGTTGATAGCTATATTCGCTGTCTAGCTCATATCCTGAACTTGATTGTTAAAGCTATCCTTCGATCCTTGAAATCTGGAAGTGTTTTAGAAGCTAATGAGATTTATGAGAATCTACAATTGAGGAATTCTCAATCAGGGAATTCTCTATCGATCTCCTCCAATCAGCATTGTCTAGGCTCCAGATTCTCGCTATTTGGATTTCTCGCAGTCCTCAACGGAGACAGGAATGGAATTTGATCTGTGATGCAATGAAACTTGATAATATTCATTGAGCATGATGTGGAAACGCGGTGGAATTCTACCTTTCGAATGCTTGGTGATGGAATTAATGCTCGGCCTCAGATCAACCGATTTTGCTCTGTACAAGGTATACAATTAAACAATCTAATTAAACTATGTAATTAAACTATTAATTAATTAATTTACTAGGTGAAATTCTTCCCTTTACCAGTGCAGAATGGGATTAGCTTGGTCAGGTTCATAGGGCCTCAAAAGCTTTAATGACTTGACGAACTTGGTATCTATATCAAGGCCACAAATCAGTCTAACTATCCCAGTTTTCTATACGCTTCACGATCTTTTAGAAGATACAGCCTTAGTAGGATATGACGATGATATTGCAAATGCAATAAGGGCAGGCCTGAAGAAGTACCAAAAGTACTATGACTTCATGGATAACTCAGAGGCATATTATACAGCCTTAATTCTTGATCCCCAGGCCAAAGGTAATCTAATACTTCATGAGATAGAGGATCAAGAAGCTGCCCAGATGATTATACAAGAGACTCGCCGAATGCGACATCAGAGATATCCATCACAGTCGATTCCACAGTCAACGTGAAGGCGGATTCTTCATAAGCTCCAGCCTCAGGGATCTCGATTTGTTTCTGATATTGATCAGTACTTTGATAGTCCCCGTATCACTATCATGACAGAGGATCCAGACTGGATTTGCAATTGGTGGCGTACCCATAGGGGTGAATACCCTCAAATGGCAGAGGCTGCAAGGGAATTTCTCGCGATCCCAGCTTCAGAGGTATCAGTTGAGAGGTTATTTAGTGCAAGGAGAGATCTTTTGGGAATTCGAAGGCTTAGTTTAGGGGCGGATACTACGAAGATGTTGATGTTGATGTTGATGAAAGACATTGTTTAGTTGAATTTATTGCTTGGTTTTAGTTAATTGAATGAATTTATTAATTGATTAGTTATATAATAGTAGTAGAAGCAGAGATTATGAATTTAATATTCAGAATTCAAATTGTTGAACTATTCAAGGGAGGGGAATACATTGTAGATGATATATATATTCATGGCATGTAGTAGTTATTACTAGCAGTTAGGGGGATGACTGACTCCTGACTAGTCATGCGACTATTCTAAGCTCAATTAGGCTAATACTAAGCCTAATTGGGCTAACTAGTCCAAAGGTCTGACGATAATTATCGTGACGATACATCATGGAAACCGCATATCGTGTACAGTCCTAGTTGGCAGATGTAAGGAAGTGCGGACGGGCCTTGAGCGACGTGTCTTGAGGGCTGAATACTGGAGCTCTGGGAGTCAAATGAAAGAGTGCAAAATGATTGATTGAATGATGTCTAAAGTGGGAAGTACTGAGGTTATCTAAACTGACTATCTACACGACTCTTGTAGAGGGAGTGTCACATGACTGCGATGTGATCTCAACACGCCGGTGGTAACTGAACCATGTATAGGCAGCCGACGCCGCGGATGCCACATTCGAGCTTTACTGCTGCGGTCGTGTTGGGTGATCATCTAATGTCATGTGGAAGAGGAGGTTCCGGCGGCCCACCCCACCTTCCTACCAATCCAACCTTCGAGCGCTTCTACCTTTGACTCCCCCAAACATCAGCCCCGCATCAACGTAGTGCATACGACTCTTCAGCGCGCTCTTCGAACGGAATTCAAGCAACAATAGACCAGCCATTATAAAACTACCTTTTCGTATTCCCGTCAGACAGTCACCGCAATGTCTGATCCACTTGACTGGTACCCAGATCCTGGTAAGCGTTTGAGAGGACACCGTGTTGTCAGATCACCGAGTCGCTAATTATTGTTACCAATATTCCTAGACTGGGCAGATAAACCGGGTATGTTGAGTCCAATGGTCGCCTTGACTCTTAGTCCCAGCAAATTCCTGTGGTCGGAAAGCTTATTGTTCACAGAGGAGTTCATCAAACACTACTACCAGGTCTTTGATGTTGATCGGGCAGCGCTGTATAAGTTCTACGTATGAGTTTGCTCCGAAGGCCATTCTTGAAGCTTTGGCTGACCTCTACTCCTAAAGCGTGACAGATCGATGTTGTCGTTTACATTCTCCTCCGACTGCAAAGGTGCCGCCAGTATTACTAGAAAGCTCGTGGTATGCGAATGGGTTGGGCCAGATGCAGGAGAAATGCTAATTTAATTGATAACGTAGGATTTGCCTTTCCGGAAAGACGTCCAGCATAAGATCCATGCAATGGAATGCCAGCCGTCGAACGACCATGGAGGGGTATTGGTTCTTGTCCATGGGGCCCTATTTGTTAGTATTGAAGGGTTTCGGTTTGCGCTTTCGCTAGTTACTGATCGATAGATAGTATAACGAGCCGCGGCAGGTCGTGACCTTCACTGAAACATTCCAGCTTCTACCTGAGGGCGACAGCTATTTCATCTTCAACGACGTTTTCTTGATCACCCATCCGGAAGCGAAGACTTAGGTCAAGTTCGTTGATTCATTGGTGGATATCCAGAGATACTGAATCAACCTTATTTAGAAATATATTCAATGTATACGTAAAACAGCAACAAGATGCTCAGCGAGGATGGCACAAAATATTGAAGAACCTGATGTTTGGCGATGATTCTTCCAGGGATTCCCGAGCGAAGGGATCCTTTTCCCTTGCACCACAGATTATTGAAGTCAAATATAGTGATAATGCAAGCCGAGCATGGGAAGTGTGCCACCTTTCTCTGCGTGGTATCACTAGGATGCGGGAATACCGGTAATCAATTCCTTGCCCGCATTTGAGTTGACCTGGTTACAGAGTCCGACCAAGTTGTTCGGTATCTTCTGTCTCCAGGGTGTGAACCAAGACTGAATGATTCCATAGTTGATCGAATCCTTCTTTTGGATCCCGAGCCAGATATTGAGATATTTAGCAGCATCGGCGGTATCGTATTGCTTTCCTTCGTTCGCATTTGCTATTTTCACCACGAACTGGTAGTCGAACGGCGCAGCAATGAACGTGAGGCCATAGCAACTATAATCCTCGTCGTCCGACGAATCCACGGCATCTTTGTCAATGTTCTGGCCATCTTCCAGCACGTAATACTGCTTCAGGGCCTCCGTCTTATACTTTGTCCAAACTTCGCGTTTGTTGTAGAAGTGGAACTGGATCGTGGAGTCAGCCCAGTCGTTCGGGATTGGTTGTCCCCTCTCCTGCGCCATCTTGTGGGCGTATGCCATCGCCCTCTTGAGGTCTTTGAGTGGACCTTCATATCCTTCACCCTGCACCCATTCACTCGCGATGTAGTCCATATCTCTCGTAGACGTTCGATCACCGAGTAGAACGTTCACGGCGCCGCCTTGGATGATCACATCATATTGTCGGAATTTTGCTGCAAACCACCCGCTGGCATCCTTCATTGCCGTCCGCAGGGTAGCCGCGGTCAGTGTAGTGTCATCACGGCCCACAAGGGATTTGAAGGTAAAGGCCTCATTTGTAAGAATATGGCCCGAAACATCAGAAATAGGCGTTGCAATGGCTGAGACCGCGAGAAAGGCCGAAAGCAGAGTTTTAAAGAGATGCATAGTGCTAGGTAGAATAAATATAACAACTCGGATAAAATCGAAGGGGTAGAAAGAGAATATGAAGCTGAATACCCCGAGAGCATGTTATAAAGCAAAAGTTCGGGCTGTTGCTTCGGCCCGCGAGTATATGGGGCCGGCTAGGGGATAAACCGTAAGCAGGCTAAACCTTTGCTATTTTTGCGACCCATTTGGCATCCACACCAGATCCCTCAGATATGAATCGCCAGCCCGAAGTCTGTAGAGTAAACATAGCGCTATGGCCCCAGATATTGGTGGGCAGCATTCAAGAATTTGACTGTGCCGCACTAATCCTTGTTGCTAGGCTGAACTGTAATTAGTTACATCTCAAATGGTGACCAGTAATCTATCGCTGAATTGGTTTCATTGTAGGGACCGTTACTGTCTGTGTGGTCAATATCCTAGGTGGCCTGCCCGAATCGAGATCTCGATAGGCCTCGGAAAGACCCTGAAAAGAGGTCATCTGGCAGGACCCAAGACTCGACCCTCCGCGAGTCAAGGCCTAATCTCGGAGTGTGGGTCACTTAGTCAACAATCTTATTAGAGAGAACCTTCTGCGGTGATGCCTTATTTTCTTTCCTTGCAAACAGGTTGGAATCTTTGTAATCTGTAATCCTGTGAAACATCCTTCGGCAGGTACATGCAATGGCCTCTTGGCCTAACTGACGGACTACATTAATTCGCCTTACACATAGCCGCGTAGTTAGGGCTAGGGACACCCCTCTACTGTTTAAGGAGGACTAGAACATGCTATGTAGATCCCTAATGATACCCTTATCCAATCTACCATTTTGAAATTCTTTTCCGGTTTGTAGATTACCAGACAAAGATACGATCGAGATTACGATCTAGACATGGCCCCCAGGATATCAGCCACATGGGATGTAACCAGCCTCTATAATAATAACTATTTAGTGATATATTAGTGGTCATCACTAGAAATGTACTTAATTACAGTATGGTCTGGGAACAAGGATCAGTGCGGCACAGTAACATGAGACTGCTGTCCCCCCAATATCCGAGGCCATGTTTACTCCTACACGCTCACAACTGGCAAATCATAGTTGGGAAATCTAATGTGGAGGCCAAATAGGATGGTAAAATTGCCAAAGGATCAGCCTACCTAAAGCTTCATGCCCCAAGCCACCCTCTATACTTGTGGGCGGAAGCAACAGCTCGAATTTTTTGGAGTAGAATTATCGGACGCTGGAAGAATTTGCGGATAGGTCTAATATCACTTTTTTCATCAATTGTAGCCAAACCTGCGCATGATGAGATTATATAGGCCATCTCTGGAAGGTTTTCCTCCTCAAATTCCGACTCGTCAACTTCAACAGCAAGAGCATTTCCTAGCTCTGCTCTGGTGAGCTGTCTTCTAGCACGGGTGATCCACGGCAAGGCTTGTCCAGCCATCTCCTTCTGGTCTGGAGATTGCCTTTGAGTACGATGCATAGCTTCACTATAAGCAGCGTCATAAGGGAAGTCATGTATATTAAACCAGTTTGAAAATGTCCTTGGCGCAGATCGGATCGCTTTAGGTGACCGTTTCCCTATCAGCGAATTAAAATAAAGCTGTGCAAGAAGAAATCTGAGGCTTATGTTAGCAAGTGAAGAAGGGTAGTTATTATGGACTTACATTCCGTCAACGGCCTCACTGATCCCGTAGTGATCTCCTGCTGAAGGTCTGGATTGCGTGATACAAATGACGGGAGGCATACTAGGTTGGCCTGCAGGTATCTTATCAAGTCTTGCTTGTTTGTATATATGTCCCTTGAAGGCTTGCCCTCGAACCTCGAAATGATCCCAGGGATGAGCCTTGAAGTCGCCAGAAAGTGGATATTGAATTTCTTCTGAAGACTGAAGATCTCATCAAGAAGCTTATTTCTTGATCCGCTAGGGACCCGGAACTCATCCAAAGCATCGATAACAATAAAGAGCTACGAAAAGTGACTGGAAACTGAATGTAGGGCGATAGATACCTCGCCGATCGACGGCCGGGTTCCCCTACCAACGCCCAAAGGGCGGGTGGGGCTACTTAGCAAAGAGACGGCTATTCCTCCGTCACCTCAAATTTTACATAGCTCAATTTGGAGCATGGGCTTGTCAATGTTACAGTAACTACGGCGAGAAAAATTTGTAAATAGATTTGGAATTAGGATAACTGGTCTTTTGCTTTGTTTTATTTACCTTTTTTTTTTCTTCGTGGTTAAGAAAATACATCGATTTCGTTCTAAACATAGCAACGTACTTCACCAGCCTAGATCCTTGTCAATCAGTTGCATTATGGCCATCTCGGCGGGCCATACTTGAACAAACTCCTTGGACTCGCCAGGACCAGTCTTCTTTCCACTGGAAAGTAAGGGGGTAAGATGCACAAAAGAATTCCCAGAAGTCAGGAAACCAACCGGAATTCTCCCAATCGACTAGTACGATGTCAAATGATCGCCCACCTTGATCGTTTGGGCGACTTGTATTCTCCGCGACCATAATGTTCTTCTGCTGAACGTCCCCATGCGTGAATGTGGGCCGGTGACCTTGAAGGACGCGAGCGAGGTATTTTTCGTAAAAGCGAGCCTTGTAGTCTGGCAGATTATTGCGTTCGACCAAGGCTCTATAATTACCGACGAGGCCCGCAATGAAGGCAGGTTCGCCGGAGAAAGGCCCTAGAAATTTCTCATCGCCATGTTGGCTATAGAATAGGCAGTGATGTACGCCGCCCCCGTCCAGGCCTCCGAAAAAGTCGGGCCATGGACACTCGGCCTTTCGCATCGTGTCGAATATTAGTTGGAGTTTGGCGATAATGTCATCCTTCTCGGAGTGCGCCAATGATGGCCAAATGGAATTCAGCTGCACCCCGGGAACGCGTTGCATGATTAAGAAAAGTTGTTTCGAATCATAGTACATCGCGTACAGTCGAGGGGCCGGAAGTTCTAGGACGTGTCGTTCAAGATAAACCAAGGCCTGGCCTTCCCAGATGTTTATACAACCTCCGTATTTTACAACAATATCGTCGTTCACCGCAACAATCTTGGAGGCCATGGTCTCCCACAAAACATTAGTACAAGCGCGGATTTCATCTACTGTAGGTAGAGTAGGCAGAGGCTGGGAGTTCTGAAAGGGGACAACCACTGGTTCCCACATCGTGAACAGAGCAGGAGTCGACGGAGTTAATATTGAAATATAGATGATTACTGTGGCTAGTCTTGATATGAGCTGCAACCCAGGCGAAAAAGTGTAGCGTGAATACTCACCGTGGTTGTCCGAAAGAACTTTTCACCAGATTCGCCTTGAAAACTCAGTTTGGTGAGTCTGTCATAGTTGTCGCTGAAAAAGGGGTGGCGGAAAAGATGAAGTGATCATGAAATCCAGAGGGAAAGCTGTGAGATCGGAAATCGTCTTACAGAGCTCTTACGGTTCACGTGCGGACACATGATCGACCCCTTCTGTATTTAATTGCTGCTCTACTAGTCATTTTACAATACAACACTCATTTCGCCTTACATCTAGTAGCATGTCGTTCTTATAGGCCCTATCTATTAGGGTAGGCTCGTAAGCATGGCCTCTTTGAAAGAGATGAATACGAAGCCCTAAGGAATGAGTCATGAAATAAAACCCGCCTTTCGCCCGCTCCCTCTTTCTCCCGAATCCGAAACAAAAATCTTAGCAACAAGATTTTCCACGGAAAACAACAAAATAGGAGGGTAAAAATCATCTACCTACTCCACTATCATCATGACAGTCACAGAAGCCCCTTGGAGATCAACCCAAGATGGACCAATTTCCTGCGAACTAGAATGTCTCTCTCCGCAAGCGCTGAATCTACTCTGTGAAGGTGATCTCGAAACAGCACGCAAACAGATCGATAACAGCATCACGCCGTTTCTAGTAAGCGACTCAAGCCGACGGACTTGGAGAAGACGACGAGATCAGCACATCACGGATCCCGATGATCGCATTTGGACCACTCGCGTTATTCGCGACCAGCAAACACGAGCTATCGTTGGGCGGGCCGGATTCCATGCTAGACCCGATCAGAGAGGTATGGTAGAATTTGGGTACGCAGTTGATCCTGAGCTCCGTTGCCGTGGATATGGGACATCAACTCTTCGGACTTTGCTCGAAGTATGCCGGGTTGACCCTAGAGTTAATGTTGTAAGGGCGTCTATTAGCCCAAGTAATTGGATCTCGAGAAGGATAGTCACAAGTTATGAGTTTCAGAAAGTTGGAGAAGAGATGGATGAAGAAGATGGTTTGGAAGAAGTCTTCGAATTGGCTCTATGAAGCTTCACTTCGTTCGCTCGACCGTCTTTTTGCGTTGCTGATAGTACATCTCTTTCTTTTCGTCTACAAAGGTTAGCTGAAGACACAACCGCCTGAATATTCAAATTCCTAATATATTCATGAACAATATTATAGACACAATTATCTCTATGGATATGAAGGCAATTAAGCAACCATGGCGTAGTTATTTACAAAGTTTGTTATTTACAGGAAGTTCATATTAGGTTTAGCGCATCATGTGATTAAGGTTTGAAAGAGCATCTCTGTGTTTCGGACATGGAAGGCAATAACGGGCGCGACTGTAGAAGGCCGCGATCATTCACGATCCTTATCGAGAGGACTTTTAGCTAGACTAAAGAGAAGATAATAAAGGACTAACGATAATTAATTTAAGTACTATAGACGATAGGAGTCCTATGTCAAGGAAACAAAGAAGGGATCATAAAAGAAATAATATAATAGTAAGACGGCCCTCACCAGCGAGAGCGGAGAGGGCCCGACTAATACTAGGGGGTGGGTACTGTGCCCCACAGAGAACTTCTAGAATCCTATCAAGCAGTGGCATCACGGCCCCTACCAAGACTTTTCCCGAGTTCGCTGGCTCTAGCGCAGTAGTGTGGAGAAGGATGATCTTATTTTACCCTAAAATACTCTAGATTTGGTATATTTGGGGCCAACCACCTCACCGGTACCCTGCGGAGCTACGGCCCTCGTTGGCTCCTATTTTAGCAGTTTGCACTAACAATCGTAGCCATAGGAGGCCAACTTTCAAATTTCCGAGCAATGCTAATCTGCTCATAAAATACATGTCTGTCTCGCTCATCGCGAGCTCCAAATTTTTCTAGGGAGTCATGTCAAAATTTCGAGCATCCCACAATATGCCAGAATCCTTTTATAGCCAACGTTATCGCAGAATGCAAAGGTCGGGCATACGCGTGGCTCTGGCATTATGTGTTTTATGGCTACTCAACCTATTTTCAAACTCTCGTGTGTTGCCTCTACGAAAACTATGTATCATAACATTTGTGCATTTGACTGACTAGAGCTGTAGCTTTCCAAAGTATCTCTCCGCCCGCACCACTTCAGCCTTCAATCGGTAAAGTGTCGATGGTATATGGCAATCGGCCGATTTACAATAGAACGCTGGAATCACATAAAGAGCAAAGTCGCCGGCTCAATTATCCAATGTCTATCCTTCGCAATCCCATCGTTGATGGGGTATGGAATAAACCTCTCTTCATTCTGCAAACCATGCTTGGTGAATTAGAGAAGCCGCCAGACCAGCGACTAGAGTGGCTTTTGTGAGTTCACGAGCCTAAGCCTTATACATTGAACTTGGACTCATAAATTCAAATTTCTTGGTTTAGTTGGTTTGACAGTGATACGGTACTCATGAATCTGAACCTGCCACTAGAGACCTTTCTTCCACCGTCACATCTCCCAGACGTTCATATCTTACTCTCTCAGGATTACAATGGACTGAACAATGGAATCTTTCTAATCCGTGTACACCCATGGTCCGTCAAGTTGCTCAATGCCGTGATTGCATACCCCTACCTGAAACCAGACGTCGAACTCCATTGGGATGACCAATCCGCTTTGAGCAATATTCTCAAGGAAAATGAGTATTTTGGCAGATCTACTGTGTACTGTCCACAGCGTTGGTTCAATCCTTATACTAGGTCGGAAAATGGGGAGGAACCAGTGAATAAAGACTTGCCCTCGGACATGCAGGTACATCCTGGAGACCTCCTAGTTCACTTCCCGGGGACTCCTAGTGCGAAACTGAATGAAACTATGGGTCCATATATTGCTATTTCGGAAGAAGAACGGCCGGATTGGAACACGGCTTTGGAGGATACCGGCTATATAGAAGAGACGGCGTTGTTTTGGGAGAACTACAGGCATGAATTATAAGCATAAATGATTGGCATTCAAGCTCAATGCGCATCTGAGCCGCGCGGGACAAGTCCCGACTCTTCCAATGCTCCCCGATGCACTTTATAAGCTTCTTGTCATCTGTGGTGGCCCAATTCCTACGTTCTAGGGGCTCAAAAAGTGGCATGTTGATGTCAAGTTCCATTCTAATTGGGAAATGGTCTGATTCGTGCTCTGGATCATCAGCTCGTTCGCATCGTGCGAGCCGAGAGAGTAGGCTTAGCGGAATGAATATAAGATCGATGGCTAACGTCTGTTCTCGGCTTGACCATGTCCCAATTCCCTCCTCTGTTGTTAGCTAGAGCCCTTGCTCATCTAGAGTAAGTAGCGAAGCCAGATTTTCATCTACAGAGGATAGATATTTACGTTTCAAATGCTGGATTCATTTCATGACAGATCATCTCATCGCGAATATACGCCTCCGCGCGCCACCCGCCCACCCATACATAAGAAGCAAGCAAATAGCACCGCATCATGGAAATCATACAGGAAATCCTCCCATGAGAGAAAGACCATGCCCGTTGCTGAACCCTCCCTCAACCACGAGGGACGCGAGCAGAATGAAGAAAGAAAGAAAAGAAATGAACTCCCAAGAACCCCGCCTAGTGTCAACATTACATGGAAGTAGGTAATCAACGGTCTTGAAAAGTCAGAAAGCCGGCCCAAAATGAAACTTGAAGCATGTGTAGACAAGGCAAGGCAAGGCGTGTATGTGTGGTGTCATCCTCAGTCAAGGTCACCGAGTTTGACAGCGACATGAGTATCCGACGCATCTGAGAATTTCAGATAGCGCCGAAAGGAGGGGCACACACGCGGAAAGAAAAGCAGATGTAAATGCCACCCATGCGAATGTATATGTACAAGCCATATAGAAGAAAAAAATGTAGGTCAGCAAGCTCTAGGTCATCATGGGTACCGGGTATGCGGCGTGGCAGAAACCTGCAAGCCAAGGCAAAAAGAGCAATCGAGATGATATACAACGGCCTCGCAGTATACAGGAAATGTGGGAGTGATGCGGATGGTAGTAGTAGGTGTGAGGGATGTGGAGAATGTAGGAGGCCGGAGGATTCGAGCCGCGCATGCGCAACGACAGCGCTCAGTTATTCCCAGTCTTGACCGGTGGCTTCTTCTTTCCGATCACAAGAACCTCGTCTTCTGAATCACCTTCATCCTCGTCATCGCAGTAGTACCTTGACTCATCATCCTCTGACGGGCGAAGTGTACTCGAGTGATGAGGTTTGACCGTCTCACCAGTGCGGAGGATAGAAGGCACTTGGGTCGAGGAATCAGATCCTTTGTCATGGAAGAAGCCATCTCCAGAAAGAGAAGAAGCCCCAGACACAACAGAGGGGATGCTAGGATGAGAAGCGCTTTGAGACATGCCACTGGTGAAATCGTCTGCAGAAGAGGAAGATATGGTGGCGGCCGAGGGTGTGGAGGTGGTGAGACCACGACTGAGAGGGTCGACGGGACATCCAAGATCCGGAAGTGGAGGAGCCGGGGGTAAATGGAGAGAGTCGCTTGATGGTATCTTGCTTTTAACTGCAGATGCCAGCGGATCTCGGTCAACACCTGGTTCGATGTCGCTCCGCCGGCGCCGTAGAAGCGCTTCTTTCGTGAGGGTGAACGATTCCGCGGAAGACTTGCCCGCTAGCTGCTGGGATCGGTTGCGCCGATGCATGGGTGCTGGGGGAGGGCCTGGGCTCTTGGCGGAGACAGCGGCTTCGTGTTGCCATAGACCGTTGCTCCGAACTTGGCCAATTGCAGAGGCAACACTAACGGCAAGGCTTGGCTCTGAGCGACGATCTCCACCTTCCAGGGATGTCAAGTCGCCAGAGGGAGATGAGCGCCGACTGCGGCTGCTACTGTACATGCCCCGTGATATCCGCCGAGATCCGCTGAAGAGGCCACCGAGACTGGCAGTCCCCAGAGTTTCGATGATCGAAGGGGTACCCGTTCGCGGTCGCACCGTGGGGGTCGTGTCGAAACTGGATTGCCTTACAGTCTTTGCAGACTCTGCAGTCGACATGGAAGATTTGGCGCGTCTTGGAGGTCCCGGCCGTGGAGTCACGATAGGAGCTGGAGCAGCATTGGCTCCGGGAACAGTCTTATCGAAATACGAAGACCATTCTTCTTCTTCCACTGGACTGGCCGTCACGCTTTGAGCTAGGGGGTGTTCGCTTTGGCCGCCAAACTTGACTGGCCGAAAGAATTCCTCGTCTCCTCGCAAACTGTGCCGGCGGCTGTCTGGCGAGGCTTTGCCAAAGGTACTGCTCGTCGAGGCAGATGATAGCGTGTCCGAAGATGGTGTGGTACTCGATGTTCGCTTGCGAGATTCCTTGTCCTTAGACCGACTTCCAAACCACTTTGCCACATTGGACCGAACCCGTTGAATGAAAGGAACCTTGCTGACAGCACTGGTGACTTCCTCGTTCGAGACTTCGATCTTCTTTCCTTTGCTTTGATAGGCGGGGTCCGTCTCCTCGATCCACGCTCGGGGATTGGGTAGGCCGTGAAGGGTCCAAGGGTGGTGCTTGATCTCCTTCAAAGTGATGCGCTTGATGGGATCCTTGGTCAACAACCGACGAAGTAAATCATAAAGCTCGTCGTCAATATCCTCATAGGCCAGCTCATCACTGTTGCGGTGGTTCCATTGAGCACTGGTGGAAGAGTCCTCTCTGACAACGGGAACGAGACGCTTCCGCGGGATAAAGACTTCTTTCTTCACGATGGTCTGGAACATGCTGTATTCATCATCCGAGACGAAAGGTAGGCGGCCAAAGATCATCCCATATAGGGTAACGCCCAAAGACCAAACGTCAATCGCACCAGTGATTTTTGGGATCGACCCGATTGTCTCGACAAAATCGTCGCCGGTGTAGCACAGTTCCGGGGCGTAGAAGGCGGGAGTTCCAACGGTCTTGGATAAGTCGCGAGCATCATCCAATTCTGCCGCCCCAGTCTCGTCTACTCGTTCCTCCTCTTCATCTCGAATAGGTCGACCTAGGTATGAGACACCGAAATCAGAGATCTTGACGCGGTGGCTGCTGGTCACCAATAGATTAGCAGGTTTGATGTCACGATGGATGATCCCCTGGTAGTGAAGATACTCCAATCCAAGGACAGAGTCTCGGAATGCGTTGCGGGCTTCGGTAATGGTCAAGCAGGGAACATAGGACATATCATCTCCATCTGCAGACCATTCCGGCTCGGAAGGAGCATATCCGAAGCTGCTGGATGCGGTGCTGAAGCGTCGTTCGAACGGATAATCGACATAGGCGCCATACATGCTGCCTTCGACCGCAGCTTGGGAATCGAGAGCGGAAGAGAGGGAGGCACTCGGAGAGTTCTCGTCAAGGATGGCCGTCGAACGGGTGGACGTACGCCCGAGCCCCAGTCCAAGGCCAACACCCTCATCCTCTTCATCTGACGACTCCGCACCGTGCTCCAAACTCCAGGCGGGAATGGGACCCTTCTGCGCATCAGCAGCCTGCGCTTCGATGCGCTCCCGCGCTCTTTTGCGTTGCCGACGCAGATGCTGAGCGGTCCGGACAAATTGATGGCTCTCTTCCACAAAGGCCGGGGTATCGGGGATCCCAGCTTGTTCGCGCTCGAACCGGAGTTTGTCCACGTGCACAATCTCTCGAAGACCCTTCTTGCGCCAGATGATCTCACCGTTCTCAACATATTCCAACACGATATAGACCTTCTGTTGGTTGGGATCATCGATGACTTCGAGCAAGCTGACCACGTTCGGATGCCGCGCTTTCTTCAAAATAGCCACCTCTTTCTTGACTTTATCCTCCGGGTTACCCAGTTTGCCTAACCGACGACGTTTGGAGTACCGCTGAACGATTTTGATGGCCACCTTCTGCTTGGTGGCCACATGCCGACAGAGTTTGACTTTCCCATGCTCACCACGTCCAAGCTCCTCCAGGATCTCATATTGATTGATGACCTTGTTACCCGTGACCAAATCCCGATCCACTTCGACGGTATGCGTCTCTTTCGGCGGTTGCAAATGGCTTGGATGGAGGTAGGGGCTGCCGATCCAACCTTCCTCGTCTGACCCCTGCGGTGGTGTTGTGCGCGAGCCCCGCATAGAGAACAGTCCTGGGCTCGACACCGGGGTATTGCCCGCGGTACGAGAGACACGCGGGTGTGGCACATGAGGGGTGGCATCTGCTTGTGATGGATATGAGCTCCGCGACCGTAGGTGTGGAGGTTGCCATGTTGGATGAATCTGAGACTGTAGGCTAGCGTAGGATTGGTCGGGGTACACCGGGTAGTCGCCCTGGGTTTCAGAGTGTCGTGAAGCCCTCCGGGGGCTGCGCCCAGCGCTGCCATGTTCCGACCGAGCATCCACCACAATATCTTCGTTCAAGGCCTGGAGAGAACTCGTGGAGGTGCGGGCCGACGAAGACCGAGAGAGACCATAAACGTGAGCGAAGGCTTGGCGAAGGGCGCCTCCCTGTGCATCGGCCGTGTCGGTCGCTGGCGACAATTTGGCAGCCGATGGTTTGCCCTCCAGACCAGCTATCGCGGGCCGGTGATCCGACATATTCAACTCCTTTTTATGGTATTTTCGGGAGGGAAGTTATGGGAGCGAGCCAACGGTGCCGGGGGTGCCGTGGACCATCCTTCTGCTTCCTCGCGTGGGTAATGGTTTTGGGGGTGAAATAAATTCACAAAGAGCTGGTGATGAGCTCTGCGAGAGGGCACGAGTTGACCGGCATTACTCTCGCTGGATTTGACGACGGGCGACCGGCATGCAGGTAGGACGGCGAGGGAGATCAACCGTGTTCCGGACAGCGGCGAGGGTGGATGGAGAGAGAGACTCGAGGTAGACCTGCTACTCCCGCACGTGTCGGCAATAGGGATGGAATGAGTATTTATAGCACGGTCGTGTCGTCGAAGTGAGGGGGGTTGGAAAGGATGGATGGATGGCCGGATACTGGGGCGAGATCGGCCGGTCTGAACAGAGGGAAAGGGAAGGCAGAGAGAGTCGAAATAAGTCCAAATGAATGGAGACAGAAGACAAAACCCGTCAATGATTCACGGGGAGAAAGGGAAAAAAAGAGCCGTGTGGAGAGTAGGAAGTTGGGTCAAGTAGTGGGAGAGAAAGGGAGGATGAGTTGGGAGTGGATCACCCAGGTTGGCCGCCCAGTCGAGCCAGCGAGCATCGGAGTGCACGGTGGGGCTGTCAGATTTCTCTCTTCGGCCGACGCTCCGGAGGTCCGTGGATACTTGAGAGTAGTGATCTATTTGACGATGCTCTCTTCGACCTCTTTTATCTCTATCGCATCGGGTTCGACTCGACTGCTGTGGCAAAGCTCACCCGTGGCTTCGTACGAGGGCGGGTTTAGGTTTGGGTTTTGCCCGGCCAAGAATGGATTACGTCGAGGACTCCCGCTTAGTAGTACTTGCTATCGTACCACGGGTTATCAACCTGCCACTTCCTGCTCTGGCGTCTCCTGGACCACCCATGGTCGTGGATGGTGCTTTTGATGTTCCCGGCGACGGTATCCGCCACCCCACTCCACTGCTGAGCTGGAGAGCAATAAAGTCTGTCGTCGACCAGCGCGCATTCTTACAGGCGGGTCATGGACCCCAGGAAAGTTAGCTGTTCGGATGGGCTGATGCGCTAAAACTCACCCAGGGGCATTCAGCAAATGCACGACGCTGTGGCCGTCTTGGCCCATGGCACGGACGGGGCCAGCTGCAGGGTCAAGGAATTAGTCCAGTTGGCCGCGAAACGCCTGAGCACAGTGTCTGTGCGCCATCCGACGTCATTAGAGGGTCTGGCCTCAGGCTAATTAACGGTCTTTCTTCGGACATCGTAGTAGCCTTTATTCGGCCGGACTCCGAACCTCCTAAAACTGTCAATTATGATGATTTGAAGAACATTGACTATGGTGGACATTACCCATGAGCAGGCGGTCGGACAGTGCTGATGCTCCAAGGCAACCATAGTGCCTAACCACAGTGATGTCATGGAAGTACAATGGAGACAGAGCAACAAGAGACTCGTGAATACAGCTAGGCAAACTGTACAGCTCATTGTTAGACAAACAACCTGCTAGAGCAAACTTGGCTGCCTCCATCAAAGGATGTCGATTGTCGTGGTCGCCTGACAGACCTAGCAGCCCTAGAGCTATATAACCTGTTCCTGCCCAACTCCCACTCTTCTTCCTTGCATCTACCGTCCAACTCAAACACTCCTCTTATATATAAACCACGCTCGTCTGGATGCCCTTTTGAAAAGTGTCGAGTATGACTGTGTTACCAGCCATCCTACTATGATATAGCCTCTACTACGCTACCGTCATCACGGGGTCTCCCCAGACGGTGCTCACTTACCGCTGGCTGCGGGAGACGACTGACTGCTCAGCAAAGGTATATTTTCAATTTCTGGACTTGTATTGCATTACCTGATCTCGAAAGTCTTGCGATAGAGTATATTACCCGCCCTGATGCGGGAGCCCACAGATTTTCTCCATTAAAAGACGATCCTTATTCATACGGACCTAGAAACCTGGAAGATGTGGTCTGGTTTTACCCGGTTGTGTCGCTGTTATCGACTACGTGGTCGCAGACATGTGCGCGAAACAGGCAACAGGTAAGAACCACTAGATATGAGAATACTGGCCTAAACTAACCATCTAATAGGTTTTGCAAAATAAATCGAGACTGTCCGAACTCTGCTTCCTTACGCGGCTCTTCCCGAGAGCGTTTTATACGGCGTCAGGAACGCCATCTTAACGTGGCCATTTCCGTTCATAGAAGGGTATATCACACGCCCTCAAGACAGGCATGCTTCCCACTCTGGACAGAGAGGGTTCGCCGCTCACCCGGGCCCCCAGGGTGTCGCAGCTGGGCAGTCCGCCGCCGCTACTAGCGCGCAACAAACGTCAAGGCCAACAGGGGGAAAGAAGGCGAGGACGCGGCTGCGACTGTGCAGTTGGCCGCTCATGAGGCGGCGGTCACTCAGTAGAAACCCCAAAGGTCTTGGCTACTGTGGGCGCGGTGATCGCAGCGTCACCTAAGAAGATCAAGGACTTTCTCCGTGATCTGCCTTCTCTCGGCCGCCAACCCAAACCCATTGGACTAAGCGGCGAAGAAAGCATATGTTTCCCAATTTAACGGGGAGTACGCATTTCAACTGGTCGCCGCTTCCTCGGTCCATGGGGGGTTCGACTTGGGACATATTCTACGCAGTTCTGGAAGTTCAAGGGAACTCAGATAGCCCACAGCATGAGCACACGCCGAGAGCGATGGATTGTGGATGACACTATCGACCGTCCCGAACCAGGTCTGGTCGCCCGAGGCAATTCAGCAGATTGTTAAAATGACCAAGATGTTGCGTGCGGCCGCCACAGGAATGGTATAGGGCATACATCCTAGTTGTGGATCACACAATCCAGCGGAACCACGAGATGGATAACATGCACAAGAAACTCCCAGTGTATTGCGCCATGCATCAGAAGACCCTCAATATCTCATTGAAGAAGGTGGAGGGCCGCGGCCAGACACAGAGACATGGCTCGCACTTTTGTCATCAGAAACGATGTCTTACTGTATCACATATCATCCCAGAATCGAAGGAGAAGAATCAGGCTCGGAAAGGATGCCGGGTTTGGGTGGATTGCAACCACTGCGAGCGAAAAATCCTTCTCTACGTTCACGAGCCATCATGTATTAAGTACTACTCGGGCTACCGCGACAGCGGTCATTTTTAAATCGAGGGCACCCGTAGGAATATCAACGAGGAATCCTCCCGTGGGAATATAATCCCTACTCATTTAAAGAAATATTGAAATTTCGTCTATGATAGTATCCAGCATTTTTACTCCCTTTATCCCTGCTGCATGAAAATCGTCGGCCCTCCGCTCCGTGATCAATGTTGTCGTTGCAAGGCTATAGAAAGTATAGCGCGCCAAACTATTGCCAACATGCATTCAATCAACCAACGCAATGCCCCCTGATTTGACAGTCTACTCCCAAGCGCGCTGCACCACGACAAGTCTAGTTAAAGGCGTGGAGCTGACATGCATACGACCCGGCCGAGGATCCTTGCACGGGATGGATGGACAGGGACAAACGCTTGATACCCACTGCAGATACGACATTGTGCAGGGTGGTGCATGCGACCCTTTTGGCCGTACTGTGTTTGCTTCCCAGCTGCTCAGTTGTCACAGTACTGTAGGGATCTATAGATAGGGGTTATTCTGGACAGGGATGTATCTCAATGTTCCTTCTTGTTGTTGGAATAATTAAAGGACCAAATATCCTACGCAATAACCAATTGATCCCATTCTCAAGTATGGAAATGCTGTAGAATACACAAAACCAACTGAACTTATTAAATCGTGAAATTCATTTTGTACTCGAGTACCAAGGTTATCTAAACAAGCGCCATCCCATACACAGACTCCCCGGCGCAGCGGCACCAACTTCAAACAGGATTCATCAACCACACAGACAGATAGACACACTCACAATCGTACACCAATCGAGGAGGGCAAAAGAACGCTGCAAATATGGAGATGGCAGAAAGCAGCCAGAAGAAAACTAATAGAGAAACTTCCCAAGCAAGATGGTTATGCGCTCACTTTGCGACGGCTAAGGCTTCCCGGTGCATCACTAAAGCTGCGACTTAAGGAGCGCTCCGAGATATTATCCAGGTCTCCTGCCGTGGCATTGACGACCCGGAGTTTCTCCCGGGGCACAGTGAACGTAACCTGGACGCGGCGGCCCTCTGCAGCACCCTCAACGTCCCAGTCATGGTCGTCGTCGTCGATGTCGTAATTTCCATCATCGTCATCGCCCAGATAACCCGGCGCACCGAGGAACAGGTCATCGCGCGTCAACCGTGGGGTGGAGAAGACGTCGTCCGAGACCCTTTTGTTTGCTCCCCAGTCCTTGGCACCCTGTTTGCGTCGGAAGAGCTCTGCCGATGCACTCACTGCTCTCCGGGGGGTGTTGGCGTTGGGATCATGGGCGTCGGCGCCTGATCCAATGACGGTGCTGCGGCGGTCGATGCCCGAGGCGAGCGGTGCGAAGCTGGCTTCTCTGAAGCTGTTTGTGCCGCGGCGGGTGAGCGTCAAGGCTCGGCGCATGGTTTGCATCATCCAGTCGGATGCTCTGGGTTTGGACTCGCGTGGGAGTTTGGAGGGTGAGGATTGGAGGGATGGGTTTGCGTCGCTCTCGTCGAAGAGGAGCGCCTCGTTTTCGGCTTGGCGTTGGGTGATAGTCGTCTGAGCTGTGGAATAGGAGTCTCCCGACAAGGACTTCTCGGATGGGGCTGGGAGCCCATCTGGATCGCTGTGCGTCGTTTCCCTGCTGGCTGTGGATGCCACAGCGAGGTGCTCGAACGAGTGGCCGCCGCTGCTTGCCCAGCTGAGCGGCCGTTCCGTAATCATAGCCCGTACCTGGGCAATATGACCGGCAGGCCTGAAGGATAGGAAAGAAGCGGCCGATGACTCGGACAGGTTTGTGGATGTTCGATCACTTTTGGCGGGAGAGCTGCGGCCGTCGAGGTCAACAGACCCGGCATCCTTT